TGACAGTTCTCAAGAGTTTTTGAGATTGTACCTATTGAGTCTATATAGTCGTGAGGTTCATTGTCAAGTAGTTCGTTGTTTGAAAAGTGAGGTGCTTGATAGAATGGATTATAACGAATTATATCATGATTTTGAATACAATTTGAGCAGTAAGTTTTTTCTCTAAAAGTGGCAATGTTTTCCTGTGTTTTACATCTCTTGTGAATGATGCAATCACACTTATTGCAATTTATAAATGGGTGTCCAGCACGAATAGGTTTGCTGCAGCAGATACAGTTCTCACATATATTTGTTCTATTCATGGTTTCGGAGCTCTTTGAACACGTGAATTGAACATCCCAACTTTACTCCTAGCAATATCACTAAATTGGCGCCCATCTATTTGATTGCGCTGTATTTTATCCACTATTAGCCTAGACAACTTAAAGATACCAGTAGACCCAAGATGGATGGCATCACTTTTATCCTTGAAACGACCGAACTGGTCAGCTAGTTTACCATCTTCACCAACAAATTCATTAAAATCTAGAGTTCCCACCCTTGGGTTCATGTCAACATATTGAAATATAAGTTTGTTAAAATATAATGCTTTCTCATTCAACCAGCCAAACTTAGTGGGTAGTACTGGCGAAACGGTAACCTTGGAGTATGGACATTTACGACATATATCATCAAGTTTTACCTTGAGATCACTGGCACACTGCTCGATATTTGAGCTCCGTTTCTTAATATCATTTACTCCACAATGAATAAAAATATTTCTGTAACCTTCACACAAACTTGGGTTAATCATATCAATAGTAAAACATTCTACCCTTTTCCCTGGCATTCTATGACCGAAACGTCCTTTCCCACTACCGAATTTCAAGAATCTGGTGTTGGAGTCTCCTATTATTATTGTCGCATTTTCGTTGTTAGATGTAACATAACGAAATGTAACACTATATCTTTTCTCACGTGTGGTTGGAGATTGATCTATTTGATGTTGCCAAACAGACTGAGATTGCTTACTCATAACATATAGACTTTTTCCAGTAGCTGATACAGTTTTGGTTTCAGATCCTTCGATTTTACTGAATAGAACATCACAGGTACTGCCTAGTGATATAGGTACTGCTAAAGAAAATACTGTCATAATTTCACAAAAATGCCTTGCCTATCTCCTTGTGACATTACTTTCCCTTCAGCCTCTACTGTCCACTCTACTGCCTCATCTTCTGGCTAGTCATTATCTTTAGTTTATTAATCTTAATACTCACCTAAGATGGTTTCTCAGCTCTATTCAGTCTTAGGAGAAGAGAAGTAGATTTAAATATTGAGCCCTTTGGCTAGAGAATACTTTCTTGAATATTTTCGATAGTTTTTAATATTGGTAATGTTAATGAATTGTAATTGATTGATATGTAATATTTAGGCCCGTGGCCAGTTTTCATAATCATATGTCTTAGGAGAAGAGAAAGATTAACAACAAATTAGGTGGCTGCATTTTGTTTTGATTTTAGTTGGTCCTAGTATTTATCCCTATTGTCTTAAAGTTGTAAGAGAACTCTCCTTAAATTGTTTGAATGCAGTCAGATAAGTTTTATACCAGGACACTTCAACAAAGACACATACTCTGCCCACAATAAGGGGCCATAATTGTTTCAATTAAAAACTATATAGAATTATTATTATTATTATTACGGGTATATGGCCCCCAGAATATAGGTGGCCCCCAAAATATAGGTCATGTTAGTGGATACAGTTCTAACCAAGATAAGCGATACTAATGGGATCTGTTACTGCTAGGTTGGAGTAAAACATGTAACTAATGTTTCTGGATAAAAATTTTGGACCTACATGAGGTATTTTGGTATATTTGGTCATGACAGCGAAAAATTTAAACGATGTTGTCATTTTCTAGAGGGGTAAATATGGCGAAAAATTGTCATGACAAAAATCTTTCCAACACATGCCATTAAGACTACTGGTATGAGTATAAGTATTATTTTAAGCTATCTTTTCATCGAGACATCTGCAAACTGACAATTTGGAAAAAAGTTATGGCCATCACAATTTTACGGGCCCCCAGAATATAGGTCCATACGACCCCCAGAATATAGGTTGGTCAAAAACCCTGAACATGCCCAAAACCATGCTGTGGGATGCTCTACTTGTAGCTACTAGTCTCCTGAACCCACATATCAAGTTTTATCAAAATTGGATAAAAATTGGCCGAGTTATGGGATAAAAACAAAAACCATATGCCCATATTTGGGCATACGCACCTAATTTGATCGATTTTGGTCCATAAATTGGTCAAATATCAATATTTTTGAATGAAACCAACTTTATATGGAAGGTAAGCATATATTACACATTCTCTATGATTATCAGCTCAATATCTACCTAACTGTGGATTCTGTGTTCAAATAATCGCAAAAAATGAACAAAATCGCCCATATCTCAAACTGACTTAGCTCAAAACAATAGAACTCAATAGGTTTTCAATATTTTCACATGAAATTTTCAGAATCAACGTAGAATTGTCTCATGACCCTAAGTTTTGGGACAGAATTTTGAGTTAGGCCTTTAAAAAAATTTGGCGGCCAAAAATGTCTGATTTACAGTCATTGAGGTGCACATTGTATTGATACAGATAAAAACAGCCCCCTCAATCATATCTAGGGACACTCCTTCAATCTTATTTAAGTATTTAGTTAAGATCCCTACTAAATGAGTGCATGAATGCTTTTTAACTAGTAAAATTAAAGATTTTACTCATTACGGGTATATGGCCCCCAGAATATAGGTTTTTAAAAAAAAATAGCGACCAAGATTCTGCATTTTCTCTGTCACCCTGAGCATTAAGGAATGTGGGGTAGTGATGAGAAACAGTTAAAGAACATATGCTGAAGAGATGGCATCATCAAAATGTATGAAGGTGGAGTATTTGAGGACGATTTTTGCATACCTATATTCTGGGGGCCGTAGTTTTTGATTTTTTGCTTTTAAGTATACTCTAAACCATTTCAATTTAGTATCTGGAGCCATTGGCATCATCAATACAGTCCCACAACATATTCTGACTGCATATAACTGTCTGTGACAATTTTAGAACAACTTAGGAACAGATGTTTGGACCTATATTCTGGGGGCCCTGTTAAAAAATGGTATTTTTACAGGTGAAAAAAAAGTACACTTAAAAACCTAATAATTATTTTCAACTACCCAAGAAACATTTAAAGGGTTATTATGTACATATTTACAGCCCTAAACATGCTTAGAAGTAGTTTTAACACCTGTTTCTAAGTGCTCAAAAAACGACCTATATTCTGGGGGCCATATACCCGTACAATATTACCCCTTAAAATTGAAAAATCGACTCTGCATGTGACATCCTTTTAAGTTTTATCTTCTCCATACTTGATCGTGATTGGTTGATACTGAGTTAGTTTTATGGATCCTTTACGGTTACACTGTTAAGAATGTAAGATTGGACGGATCTGACTAAGTAAACAAGTAAGTAACTAGAGAAACAAAACTAACGAAAGGGGTTGTGGCCATTTTGAAACAGTCAAAATAATATTTTTAATTTTTTTTCTACGTTGCTCTTTGCTTCAAAATAACCACTTAGATTTTTTTTAAATCCTAAAAGTAGGTCAGTACCCCAATATGACCCGTGAAGGTGCAGCCTTGACTGAATCTCGAGGCCAATTTGGGATCTTAGACTGAAGTCTGCAGTCAACATGTCCTGATAGAAGTAGCATTAGCTTAGGGCTATGTGATACTGTAAATTTAGTAATTTCGTATCACAATTTATTATTGAAGACAATAATAAATTTAAGTTCAATATCACCACTTTTAAGATGAAACTTATACTCAGTAGTGTTTCATCTCAACATCACAGAAAAAAAGTTGTTTATTTACTGCTCAGAAGTACTGTCTCAGAGTACCAGTGGCGTAACGTTGCCTGTTAGGGCCCCCGCCGATAAAGTGCTCTTAACATAAGTTACATTTGGCTTTAGGTAGGGTGCCCCGCTAAAAGAACTGGATTCTTCCAGGAAGCATCCCGTGCACAGAGCTTGGTCTACATATATATTAAATTATTAACCATTCATTCTGTATGTGCACGAAAATTTATTTCAATATAAACAATACATTTTCGAAATTGTCCCACATTCAAACGACAATTTGGCGCCCCCCTAACACGGCGCCCCCCCCCCCCCCCCCCCTGCACAGCGGGGTCAGCGGGGCCCTTCGTTATGCTACTATTTGGTGATAGGCTGGCGTACCTTGATAAGTTTAAGACTTGTGGACGTACTAGGCCTATAGGACACCAGAAACTTGCCCAAAAATTGTTCACAAAAGAGCACACCGACCGATAGTCAAGCATAATAATAGTCTAGCTATACAAAATCTCTACACATACCACAGTTACCTCGAGCTCTACAAGATAATGAAATTAGTTAGTTACCTGTCCTTCCAAAACCAAACTAGCAGTCAAGGACTAAAAGTCATACACCAAATGGGCATTTTTTTAATGAATTGTTTTACATCTTTTAATTCTGTAAAATGTGCTAAAATAAAATTTCTTGTTTCATTGAATTTCTTGTTTCGTTGACATTTAAGATGAAACTTAAACTCAGTAGTCATCTCAGCATCCCAGAAATGTACCTGCATACTAAATAAGAACTGGACACTTATGCTTGTAAAGATATCGGTAAAACTAATGCAAAAAGGTTATCGATAACGTTTCTGAAGCACGTGAAGGGACAGTCTAAATATTCTAGATTCCAGAGATTGAATAGCGTTCTCAGCAGGGCCCTTAGTTACGCCGCTGGCCCTACTACTACTACTACTACTACTACTATACTACTCATAAACCAGGAGAAGGGCCCAGTTACTGTTGCCACTGTTAAATATAAAAACTTCTAAATTTAAAAAAAACTTATTACTGTATTTTTCTACTTTGCTTCTTTGTTCATATATTATGATTTCTGACCACTTTTATACTTCTTAGCTATGACTGAGATAGAGAGACCTACTGAGTTCATATTCAGAAGGCCAAATCATGCTGATCAGCTTCTAAAATCTTTAAACTCGATGAGGAAAGAGGAGCGTTACACTGACTTCTCTTTGATGGTAGACAACGGTGTAATTCTTTGTCACAAGGCTGTTCTGGTTGCTTTGATACCCTACTTCAATTCCATGTTTTCAAGGTAATTATATTTTTCAGCTTCTGCATCATAGGATGCATCCTGCAACACGAAGGTGCACCATTTTACAAGTTATTGAATATTCGATCGTGTTTCAAACTTTTATATAATTGAATTGAATCAATAGAATAATTACTATACTAATACCATACATGCGCTTTGATATCAGCCAACTTTCCGAATCTTTCATGAATAAAAGCTTCAGAAGATTCTATTGAAATAGAATATAACAAATTTTAGCATTAAAGACGATCAATAATTATCTTATCAAGAGATGGTATTAAATTTGAAATTTCAGCAACATGTTCGAAAGTCAAGAAAATACAGTAAATATCAAAGAAGTAAAGTTGGAGATTCTCCAGATGATCATTGATTTTTCTTACTCTGGAGAAATTCTCTTGACGCAGGTAATACAACATTGTAGTTTTTAATCACTGAGAGTTTCACATCAATAACATGCTTTTCGAAGCCTCTTAAATTATTGAAAATTTTAAATTGTGCTACATATGGCTTTTTAACCAATATCTTGATTAAAAAATATGTCCTTCTCAGGAGAACGTTGAAGATGTTCTGAGGGCTTCATCATTTTTCCAAATCTACTCACTGAGGAATGCATGCTGCAAATACTTCACACAACTTCTAGATACTGACAACGCTATTGGCATCTATAACTTTGCAGAAAAGTTCTCTTGTTCACAACTGCAAGAAGCCGCTTTCAGGTTAGAGCCCCATTTTATTTTTTTCCCTGCTCTTGCCGAAGGCAAAAAGATCGTAGGGAATAAGTAATCGGGTTTGGATATATGAGGTGGCCCGACGGTCCTACGTTGACGACAAAAGTCTGCTCCTTCGCAATATAATCCACTCTTCATAAATTCGCTGTATTTGAGGCGTCTGTTGTGCTGCGCGCGACGCCAGCTATGAGTAAATTAATTACAGCCATAGCAACAGAACTTTGGTGGTTGACAACCTCCAACTTGATTTATTTGAGTTGATTCGCGCGGACCGGCATTGCGCAGTATTGCATTTACACTGTAACCGATTGCCACAATTACGTTACATCGATATTACATTCGTTTCAAAACAAGCTCTCACACCTTTCACAATTTCCACTACCATGACTGCGAAACATTCAAATGTTAAGGTATGTAAGCCAATGATGTTTTTAATCTTTCTATCTCTCTTTGATACTTTCACTCACAATTGTCACTTAAAATTAGTTAGCTTCGACATTGAAACTATTTACTGCATATTCATATAATCATAGTACAACGTCCTACATTGATTGGTTGATTTACATTCATACTCATGCATTATCACTCATTCATCATCAGCTATTGATCATCGGGGATTCCATGGTGCGCCGGTTTTCATCCCACTCCAATGCAAACGAGCAATTCAAGAAGTTTAGCCACCTCTCATATCCTGGGAAAAGAATTGAACAAGTACTAGCGATCCTTCAGGACGACCCAGCTGTTTTGCAGGTTTCATTTCTTACACAAGTTTTCGTGGTTATTGGTAGTGATTATATACATATAATAAATTACTTAACAAATATTCATGACATCAGCTTACAATAAATAAACTGTATAACACAAAGTTTGTTTTCACCACCATTTTAATATCGAGCAATAATATCAGGTGAATATTTCTGTTTTTGTGAAAATAACTGCATACAAATTTACTTCAGCAATATAAAGATTATGATGTTGCTGCGGTATTCCTCGGCACCAATAACATAGGGCAGCTAGAGGTGGAGGAAACGGTACACAAATCGTACAGAAAGTTGCTGCACTTTCTAAATCTATCGCTTCCTAAGACTACATTAGTAGTAATGGACATATTACCCCGTCTATGCGAGTGGACGAGAGGTGTACCCTTGTGGGAAATAGCGCCCAATAAATGTGTGGATGCTTTTAACGAGGTGTTACTGTCGGCCTGTATCGATTGGGGAGTAAGGTGCTCCCTCAGCCATGATGAATTTATAGACGCAAAGGGTAACCCCAGGAATAAATTATTCCTGGCTGATGGACTCCATCCAAGTTACTCGGGAATTCAGGTCATGGTGAATTCTTTATTTGCGTTTCAGAACTTTGATCAATACGGCAAGCTAAACTTGAATCCACAGACTGTGCCTAAACCGGAACCCACACCAGCCTCAACTCCCCTCCACCCAACTCTTACATCACCTGTTGGTGTGACCGGTTCCCTTAATCAGGTGTTTCAGCAGCCCCCTCGTATCCTGTTTGCCCCCACCAGTCCTCCACAGCTCACTGATGTCAATCATTTTCCTCCTCTCTTCAGCAGCTCCCCCTTCACCCCTAACTTCTCTGCTCTTAACTACAGAGGGGCCCTACTCTCTGCTCCAAAAGTGAAGTTGCTTCATCCTCATGAAGTAGCCTGCACCCCTGTGAAGCCATCTTGTGACGCAGTATCTGACACACGACAGAGACCAGTACAGAATACTGCCAACCTGACCTCATCGCCAATGAAGAAGCCTGTTGTAAGACGCTGTCGAAGAAAAAATATCATACACCGCTCATGTAATGTTATGGTGTATGATCCCTCATCAACCAAGATCAAATATAGGAGAATCCTCCGTAAAGGTAACATGTCAAGGCCATCTAACACAGTAGTACTGATTCCAAACTGCGGGAACCGATTTGCTCACCATCCCGTCCCTCCTCCTCCTTCTCATCCAAAGAGCAATACTACTAAATCATTTCAGGCCCATAAGAAAGCTCCATCGAAACCTACTTCATCGACTCCATTGGCGCCCGTAGATGAAATAGCAAACTTATTCGTAATAAGTTACATGCAGAGGGTGAACAAGCAACTTTCTCATCCTCTGCATGGTGGTGGCCGAAATATTACAATCGTAGATGATGACCTCACTAGATCGGAGTATAAAGTTCTTAATAGATCCAAGAAACGGAATGTACAAACCGACCAGCAGCGTGAGTCAGTTAACAAACAACAAAAGGAATACCGGGAATCCATTAGCAGCGAAAAGAGGAAGGAGATTTTAGCAGAATCAAAAACCCGATATCATAGATGGAATAGTAACCTTAGTACTGAACAGAAAAAGGAGTACACAAAGCAAAAAAACGACCTCAGAAAAATGAAGAGGGAGCAAGACAACTATGATTTTATACAAAACTGCCAGGATCTGTTCCAAACTGAAATCTTGGGTCCACTCGGTTGTTCTGATGATTTTATGTCAGAAGACTTTTATGATGTTCCTAATTCGCCTGTTCGAACTACCGCTCTATCCGAAGAAGACAAGCGAATTATCAATACCTTTCGGGAGCACCTAGAAATATATCCGGACTTAAAATGCCAGGACTGTAATAAGCTGTACTTTTCAGATAAAATATCCTCCAAAAGCGGTAAAGTTAATTCCACCAATTACATTTGTGACATATGTTCTGCGGCTAAAAAAAAGGGCAAAATGTCATATATCTCTATGAAAAATAATTTAGAAGTTGGCTCCTTGCCCGACAGCCTCAAGTGCAACGATATAGAAGCCAAACTTATTTCGCCAAGACTTGAATTCATGAAAATTAGGTCATTACCTGCAGGTGGTCAGAAAGCAGTGGCAGGACCCGTTATAAATGTACCAGCAGATCCTCAGGAAGCATGCTTAACTTTACCACGTAATCTAGGACAGTCTGGAATAATTCCCGTTAAATTGAAACGTGATATAAAACACAAGTCTGTTGTCATGGATGATTACGTGAATCCAGACAAATTAACTAAAGCTCTCATTTGGTTAAAAGAAAATAACCCCTATTTTAAAGACATTGTTTTTAACGATGAGTGGTTCGAAGAAAATTATCCCAATCACGAGGACTTCTTTAAAATTTACTTTCCAAACGACCCAAAATTGCAGGAATTTGAAAAAGCTCAAAATGCTGCTAAATCGACGATGGGGCCATCTGATATGCCTTTCCAGTCATGTGTTCAACAAGAAAATCCTGATATAGCAGATTTAATTGTTCATTATGCGCCTGGCCAAGGTAACAAACCTATCCCTCTTCTCCAAGACAAAAACGCTGAGGTTTACGGTTTTCCACAATTGTTTCCGCTCGGTAAGGGTCATTTTAATGATGTTCGTCCCAATAAGTTGACAATGAAAAAATATGCAGAACATAGGCTCTTTAACGCCGATCGTCGCTTTGCTTCTAATCCAGAATACATTTTCTTCCTGCAGTGCCTAGTAGAAAAAGAGCAGCTACATAGTAATATATCCACTCATTTGCGTAAAGGGACCAAGCGCGATGTAGCTGGTAACCCAGTCAATGCCAGATATCTCCGAGATCTTACAAATGGCAATCCATCTCTTCACAGCTCAATCGAGTTGTATAAATTCATGAAAACTATGAAAGGTTCTCCTGCTTATTGGCAAGCTGTGAAGACAGATGCATTGGCCATGGTCAGCCAATTAGGTGCATTCACTTTTTTCCTTACTGTTTCTTTTAATGATTTGATATACTCTATTCCCGCTATTATGCAAGCTAGGGGTCAGCCAGTTTCCATGGAGTATCTAGAAAACCTAAGTTGGTATGATAAACATGAAGTATTACGGTCCGACCCAGTTACTGCTGTGCGTATGTTCAAACGTTTTGCTACAGCTATAATAAATCAGCTTATTATGAAGGAAAAGGTTCTCGGTGAATGTGAAGCTAGAGCTGGGCGTGATGAGTTTCAGGGTAGAGGTTCTCCTCATTTACATATGCTCCTCAAAATTTTGAATGCTCCTGAAATTGGTGTAGACGATATCGCTACCATTTGTGCGTTTATTGATAGGTATATTACTACCAAACGACCGTTACCCGATGAAGACCCGGAACTCGCAAAATTAGTGATGCTTCAAACTCATAAACACACCAAAACGTGTTCTAAACAGTCTGGTTCCAAGACATCAGGTTCTGACACATGTAAGTGTAGATTTAACTATCCGAAGGAACCTTCTACTGAGACAGTGATTATCATCGATCCCAATGGTAAGAAGCGCCCTGTTATCATTTATAAAAGGGATGTAGGTGACGAGAACGTCAACACTTATAATGAGGTTATACTACGAGCGGTCAGGTCTAATATGGACATTCAATATTGTGGTGATGCTTACAGTGCCCTGATGTATCTAGTCAGCTATGCCACTAAGCAAGAAAAGGCTGCACTTGATGCTTTAAAAAACGTTCAGGAAAGTAGCAGCATGCCTTTTAACGCTGGCTCACGTGAGACTATGAGGAAACTTGCTTTCTCTTGGCAGAATGTCAGAGAAATTAGTATCCAGGAGGCAATATACCGTGCTCTTCCATCTATTGGCATGACTTACTTTAGCCCACAAGTAATTTATATTCCATGTGGTCCACTAGAGGATCAACATTCAATTTTAAAACCTAAAGTACAGTTGGATGCTTTGCCTGATGATAGCACTGATATTTTCATGAAAGGCCTCCGTGAGCGTTATCAAAACAGGCCTGATGACCTTGAAAACATTTGCTTCGCAGAATTTGCTTCTAAGTATAAACCCCTGTACGGTCGTCCAGGCCCTCGCCAAGCAAGTAAGACTTTTGCTCTAAAAAATGGATTGGGTAATATAATACTGCGAGACCTTCCTGTAATTGTTCGCTCACATTCCTACTCTTCTAAGAATGAACCTCACAAATTTTATTACAGTAAAATATGTCAATTCCACCCGTGGCGTTCAGAGGCTGATATACTAGGTCCTTCTAAAAACACTATGCATAAATTTCATGACTGTATTGACATTATCAAGGCTAACATGATGAACTACGGTAAAATTTCGAGTGAAAGGATGGAAGAAATGTTAAAACGGGCACATGACGAAATAAATAGTAGAAAATCTGAACCGCAAAAAAACTCTCAGCCTCCTCCTCCAGAGCATGCTATGGCTTACCCACCTGATGGAATTCAACCTGTACAAGAGAATGTGGAGCGCCGCTCTAATTGTAAATTTGAATATGTAGAACCAACCATTTCAGCTGAGGCTCTAGCTACTATGGTATCGTCTCTTAACACTGCTCAGCGGGAGTTTGCTGACATGATTGACCAGCATGCTTCTGCTGTGGCTGACTCACAAACTCCCGCTCAGCTGCTCATGTTCCTCAGTGGAGCTGGAGGTGTTGGTAAAAGTTATGTAATTAATTGTATTAGGCACATTATCAATAGCAAATTTAAAGACTCTAAATTACATACTAGAGTTGTCGCTGGTGCAAGTACAGGAGTTGCAGCAATTTTGATAAATGGCCAGACAATTCACACTCTACTACAATTCGACACTCAACGCAAAGGCTTCTTCAGCATAAAGCCATTAGCTGAACCCAAGCGACAAACTTTATACAATTTCTACAAATATGTTGAGTACATCATTGTAGATGAAGTATCCATGTTGGGAGACACCAATCTCATTCAAATGAATACCAGGTTGAATCAGATATTTGGACACTCTCCTAACGACGGAGTTCTCTTTGGAAATAGAAATATTTTGTTTGTGGGAGATTTGTTTCAGATTCCACCTGTCATGCAAGCAATGGTCCATAAAATTAGAGGAATCGCCTCATTAGGCACAGATATCTGGAAAGATAAAGTCAAATTTCATGAACTAACAGAAATTGTAAGATCTAAGAATGACAAACCCTTCACGGAATTGTGTCATCGTCTGCGACTTGGCGAACATACCCCCGCTGACACTGATTTCCTTCAATCAAAAGTTGTGCAGGGTGATCTTCCCATTGAGACTCTGGCTCAAGCTATGTGCATATTTCCAACAAACCGTATGTGTGATGACCATAACCAAAAGTGCATTAAGCTGCTAGCATCCCACACTAAAATGTACACCGTTAAATCTCGTGATAAGTTTTCCAACTCAAAAGTAGATCATGTTAGAGAAATAAAAGATTATATGTCGAACTCTCTAAATGATACCTGTGGGTTGCCAGAAACCCTTGGCATTTGTTTAGGAGCACGAGTAATGATTAGGGTCAATATAGACACCGTTGATAAAATTGTAAATGGAGTTTGTGGTACGATAAAACATATTGATTTCTCAAATTCCTCTGAATTTCCAACAATATGGGTTAAATTTGATGTGCCTGAAGTAGGAAATAGTGTCAAACACAAATGTTCCTCGAAATGTTCAGCACAATGTCCTTTACATGAGTGTGTTCCTATAGCCCCTCTGGAAAAAGAATTTACATCACACCGTAATAAAAGTGTTTGGGTGAAGCGATACCAGCTTCCCCTTCAACTAAGCTGGGCATGCACTGTACATAAGGTACAAGGCCTGTCACTTAATGAGGCATACATTTACCTCGATGTGCCACCCGGCACTAAACGTTGGAATTGGAGGGGTGGTCAAGCATACACTGCAATAAGCCGCCTAACATCGTCCAACGGTCTTCATTTCTTGGCATTTAATCCGAAAGAAATTAGAACATCGTCTGATATTGTGTCTGAATATGTGCGACTTAGGACGCTATCTAAGTATCAAGCTTTTGCTAATCCTAAATCATTCGTACCGAGTCAGATTGAATCTTCGCAATCCCCTATCAACAATAACAAGGATCCTCCATGTTCCAACTCTAACACTTCCCCACAACTACCAAAATTCCTGTCACAAAATCTCAGTAACGTTCATAACCATACATCTCCTACACAGACACTTGATAGTGAAATGTTTCAAAATAACTACATTGGAAGAGCTCGAGTGATTGATTTCATGGATAGTCCCAAAGCCAGATATTTCGCCGAAACTTTAAATGATCTAGGTTTTCAAGTTTCAACAACACTGTCTTCCGCCCAGGAAGGAAATTCCTGCGGCTACAACAGTGCTAGAGTTATTGCAAAGCTGGCTCACTGTGATTACACCCAGCTCCATGATTGGTTTACAGTGAACGTCAGCGATTGCTGTTATAGCACTACGTCAGCCAATGATTTGCAAAGTCTTATGTGCGAAATGGCCAACGGACACCTGGAAAAACGAACCATAGACCCTAACTCTCGCTTTTTTATGCAAGTTGATCCGTTACCACTTTTTCTTACCAACGATGAATGTTGTAAATTAGTTAAATTCTATTCCGAAACCATTTACAATGAAAATTTCGCCGCATTAACCCCGGAGGCAGACAGGTATGCTGGAATAGGTCTTCCTCCTGGTACCTTTGAAAGAATAGTACAAACTTTCGTAAAAAAATCTGTCACAACACCTTTACTTCCACATTTATACATAGTTAATTCGCACGAATTCCCTGGAATACATTGGTTCGTAGTTAGTCTTGAAATATTTAGAAATATAAGTGAACCTTAGCTGCATACCTTAAGTAATTGATACTAAGTTTCCTAATTATTATCTGGTCTAAAGTTCGTGGTAGCTGTATATATATGATATTTTTTGTTTGCTTTGGTTGATACTAAATAAAATTGTTGTTTCCTATTTGATTTCTATAAAGTAGTAATTATATTACCTATTTCTTATTTGATTGTTATTTGTTTGTCCGAAATATTACTTTTATTCGCAGAGACAGTGTAATTTATCACGCAGTACTTTATCCAACGCGAATTTCAATTGTCAAACGATGCCGTTCAAATTAAATTAGCCCAAAATTTGTGCGCGGCGTACTAAATATTCGATTAAATCCTACACGCGCGCAATTACAAATCACAATAAAAATATTGCAACTTGCAACGAACAAAATAATCCAAAATCTTATTTTTATGAATCAATAAAATTCAACTTTTCATCGCAAATATTAACGGTTTAAGCAGGGAAAATTAATCGTGCGTGGTGTAACCGCGGCGAAATTCTTGTTAATATAGAATTCGTAAATATTTACCAGGTGGAGTAATAATTATCCAAAACTAATCGCTAATTACACCTTAATTAATTAATTAATCTAAAAACTCAACATGAAAAAAAAACCTTCTCATTTTGTGATTCCACTTGTAATAATAATACACCTCTGAAGGTACATTCTGCATAACTTCGGACTGATATCCATTGGAGAAGAGTTTCTGTCATTAGACACGGAGGCGCTGATAAGCATCATATCTGAGGACAAATTAAAAAGTAGCTCCGAAGAACAGGTATGTTCTTTCTTTATAACAGAATAAAAGTTTGCACAAATACAGTTAAACAGCTGCTCATGTCTTTCATGTCAAACTCTTAAAATTCCAAAAGATTAATAATAATTAATCAATGGACATAGGATTGAAATTAAATTCATTATCTGATAATAATAATAATTTACCTGTACTACCTCTCACAAACATCCACTCTACAAAATTTCTCTTATGTACGTAAGGGAAACTTAATGATTGCTTTCAGAATGTGATCTTCTGATCTTGTAGCCGGTGCGAGTAATCAAGTAACCATTTCTTTTTAACGGTATCTGTCATGTTGAATACATTAAAGCTATTCAATAAATGTTAAGTTGAAGGATTATATATTATGATGATATTACTACTGTATTTACTTGATGATGGGAAAATTTCGATTTATGTTTTGCCAAGCCTCATGTAAACAAAAGTCTCTTCAAGCCAATATTTATTTATATTCTGCACAATATTTTTTGAATATGGGTTAAATCGTTTAATTAGATATTCCAAATTAAATTACGACGCTAAATGAAATATATAACGCTATGTTACGTTAGTATCATCTCATCCCTATACATTGTCAGGTCTACACTGCTGTTGTTAGATGGGCACAACATGATATAGAGAACAGAAAGGATGTCCTTCATCGTGTGATGTCTTTTGTCAGGTTTTAATATATTATTTATATTAATTTATGTATTTTAATATGTACATATCAGTTTCTCTCAATTGTAATTACCGAGATCAACATCATACCAATTTGAGTTTTAACCATCAAATAGAACGACAACCTACCAAAACAAACTAGCTAACAACCATTTCATTGTATGTCAGGTTTGGGTTGATGAGTCGAGACAAGCTAACGGAGCTATCTCAAGGTGAGGAATCTCTGCTGCTAATAATAAACCAGCTGTCCTCAAAGTCATACCCACTACGGCACCCTCACAACCAACCCAGAGATCCTCAACGACTCAGCAGGTTGGCAGAATTTTAGAAATAGGCGGTCCGGTTGGCCCGTTTTTTTAAAGTTTTGAAATATAACGATATATCTTTTATTGACATTGAAATAAGTTAGAATTATATTCGAAGGAAGTTCCAGGCTGGCTGTAAGTTTATAATCGATCAATGTGTGGATATAAACAGTATATGGATAAGTAAGCGCGACCAATAGGGTCATGATTGATATATTCCCACCTTCAATCATTTGCTATATTTCTCATTTTGGTATGAAATCACATCTTATATGAATGTTGACAAAGTTCCCAATTTATCGACACCATATAAGATGCAATATGAACGAATTATATTGGTGGTCACATACAATTAAATTAAATGTTGCCTCACCTATCTTAATCAACTGTAGAGAAGTCTTGAAGCTGAAGTTAGAAGAACTTTTAACGTCCAAAGTCTTTGTTTTGAAATACTCCACATTTTCCCGGCTATTTATCATGGCCTCTCTTGACTTCACGCCGTTGATAGTTATCTCATAATGATCTTTCGTAACTTCGATTAGGATGTCAATCTCTAATTCATCTTCCAGGTACATTGGAAACTTATACCGTTTCCCGTAGCCTAATGGTCCACCAAATTTGTTTCCATGCTTGCTGGTGACCAATAAGTAGTCCAAGTGATCCCCCAAAGGCTCCCTTGCAAAGTTAAACCTCAGTTGCAATTCGAACACCATATTACGCTCATCATCAAGCATTGTAACATGTGCAAAGTTTTTTCCTGAAGTGCTGGTTTTGTAAACTCCGTTGAACACGAATTTTGTGCCCACGCCAACAGGAAAAACTGGCTGTTCGGTATCAATCTGCAATGGGACCCCAAGAAAGTTCTTTGAGCTTCCGAGGCCAATAAATGCAGATAATGCAACTATTAGTAGCATAGCATTGACCAGTGGCTGCTTGTCAAAAAAAGCAAACAAAGAGGAACGCAAAAAACTAGAATTAATCTGCTCTCATGCAAAGCGGTGCGTTACTAAGCACAGTACTCTTAAGGACCATTAATCACGTGACACTACTTGAACTGCTTTACTTCCTGACACGTGGTGTTCTTAAATCCATCAATAACATTAGTACATCTTAACTAATGTCAGCTGCTAAATGCTTTACTAGATAGTAGACACTCAAATATCAGTTTAATAGTTCAGAACCTTTTAGGGTTGCTAGGAGAGCTAGATGGGAATAATGACATAAACGGAACCATGTTTTTTTAGGAGAAGTTTTTACACAAATTGGACTAAAAGACTGAACACTGCAATGTATTCGTAAATTCGCTTTAAATAATCAAATCTTTTGTATGTCTTGGCAATCGTTTTTTTGGGTGATAGCGGAAATTTGATGCTACCCAGTACCCATTGATATGGAATATGATCTCTAGGTCAGAAGAGTCGCAACTCACAAGTGTGAACTGATAGATTGAATAATCCACTCTGCTGAAGTAGTACTATTTAAAGTTTTAATTTTATAAATTATGTTGATATTGATGTAGAAATGGGAGATCACTAATTGTTATCATTTCTAACACCCCCAAAAGTTGAAATAACACAACATTATTCCCAGGCGTATCTACATAGCGGGAGGTATAGCTGCTGGAGTGCACTCTGCCCTGTCAGCAGTGCAGTCCTACAATCCTGACACTGATACCTGGGAGGTTGGTTTTCTCTTTGTTTTATTATTTTTATTATTTTCCTCATCCCTTTCCGATCGGGCGACTCCGAAAATAGGTTTTTCGAACAATAGTTTATGTCGGATCCTACCAGTCGGACAGGAGTCGTGTTACCTCCCTTTCCTCTTTACTTGGTGCTTTGCATTTTACTTACTTAATACTTGTTACATATATCCAGCGTAGCTTTCTTAAGATTTAACAGGAGAACCACTTTATGTCACCACCCAGAGAATAGAAGTTTCTCTATCAGAAGCTTCTGGAATTATGACTGTGTAAAACGTGATTAGGGAATAAAGGAACACAATGTTCTATCATCTGAATCACGAGTGTCGGGCAGTTCAAACAAAATCCGAATAATCTGGCCTGAAATACTGTGATTCTGGGTCTTACACAGATCAAACCAAGTCTAACTATATATATAACCTATAATTACTGTTTAGTGATTGCAAACCAAGTCACCCTATAATTACTGTTTAGTGATTGCAGACCAAGTCACCCTATAATTACTGTTTAGTGATTGCAGGATCAAGTCACCCTATAATTACTGTTTAGTGATTGCAGGATCAAGTCACCCTATAATTACTGTTTAGTGATTGCAGGATCAAGTCACCCTATAATTACTGTTTAGTGATTGCAGACCAAGTCACCCTATAATTACTGTTTAGTGATTGCAGACCAAGTCACCCTATAATTACTGTCTAGTGATTGCAGGATCAAGTCACCCTATAATTACTGTTTAGTGATTGCAGGATCAAGTCACCCTATAACTCTATAATTACTGTTTAGTGATTGCAGACCAAGTCACCCTATAATTACTGTTTAGTGATTGCAGGATCTTTACATTATTTTAACTTATTGGCCCACTGCACTGTACTGTCGTGAATTGTCATAATTGTATACAACATCAAAATAAATTGGCAATTAAGTTAAATTGGAATGAAATTGGCAATTAATCTGATACTCTTAGCTGTTAGTTCGTTGAAGCAATATCACGTGGGTGACACTTGTAATAATTAACAATGAAATAGAACACCAGATCATGTAGTATGTCATGTTTTGAAATCAGGGTTACAAATGTCAAATAAGTCAGTGCACATAGTACATGATCTGTGGATTTGTGTGGATCGACTTACAACTAGACTGGTGTCGTCTGCAAAGCATCGAATAATGAGGTCCTAGATGCATAGTACGATATCAGTTATAAAGATAAGATATAACATGGGACCTCTCCCTTATTACACCCCATTTATAATGAGGGTAAGAAATGAAAAGGTACCCAACTACAGCTACTGCTCGATTAATATATTTTAGAAAATATTTACCATTTGATCAACTTTGGACCTATGCCATATTAAGCTGCAGCTTTTAGAGAAGAATCTTTTGATCTATTCTATCTAAGCTTTGGCACAGTGAAAGATAAATTCGATCGAAATCAGATTCTATCACATCACGGTAACGGAGAAGCTGTTTGAGACACCGACGGCCTGACCATCCTGCTTGTCACAATTAACTGATTCATCTCTAGAAAGGCCAGAAAACCACATTCTATGTTATCAACCTCGCACAGTATGTGCTGATGGTATGTGTTATGTATTAATAATCATTTATTGCTTACAGGATGTCCCTGGCTTAATAATTGTTTTACTGGACTAGAAATATCTCAATTCTAACAACTAGATCAAACATCTCTTGACAATTATTATAGTTTTAATACTTTCAACAGTACTATATATAACAAATAATTTGAGGATGTCCCTGGCTTAATAATTATTTTACTGGACTAGAAATATCTCAGCTCTAACAACTAGACCAAACATCTCGTGACAATTATTATAGTTTTAATACTTTCAACAGTACTATATATAACAAATAATTTGAGGATGTCCCTGGCTTAATAATTGTTTTACTGGACTAGAAACAACATAGTATGTGATGTGAGGAATAGTTAAGTTCTATGCAATTTAAACCTGGAAGAAGAAGCTGGGAACGTCAAGGGTGGCAAGGGAATGGGACCAAATTATACACATTGTCTTTAGATCTGAGTACTGGTGGGAAGGTGAACCATGCTTTTTTTAAACATGACAGCGATTTAAGAATCAAACCCAGACCAGAATCACTGTCACGTGTCAAAACAAACAGTTCCACACTACCAGTATCCAGATCAATTGTTACTTTGTTTTCTATTTTTACTTTCTGTTCTTTTGTTATCTTTTTCCCTATAATTTTGACTTATGTCTATTCATTGGATCATGCCATTATTTGGCGATCACTACTGTTTTCACCAATTATCCACATTTCATACCAGAATAATCTCTGGCATTATCAAGTGCCCCAATGTAAGGCGCCAAAACCGAACGGCTCTCGAATGATATAAGATTTCACAGTAAGTCATTACAAGATGCACGCATCAACATAGCGCGCGTTTGTAGAATAGACGTACATTTTTTAATATCCTGTATTAATTTCAGGACGTGACTAGTTTGACATATCCAAGATTTGGAGCAGGACTTGTTGCAAGACTCGGCTCACTATACATGATCGGAGGACACACAGGCTCCAGCTACATCTCATCAGTTGAGAAATACGACTTTGAAGGAAATTGCTGGGTGACTCTGCCCGGAGTCTATGGCCCTTCGCGCAGGTACCGAACTTGTTCCTACTAAAATCATTTAACTTACAATGATAATCATTGTCATTTTCAAACAGCTTGGCAACCTGTTATCCTCGACATATTTCCAGGTATTTCAGCACAGTGGGTGTTGACGGAAAGATCATGATAATGGGGGGTTGTGACACAGCAAGCTACATCGACACGGCTGCAGTGCTGGATATTCCCTCCAGACAGCTTATATTTGCCGGCAAGATGAACGAACAGCGAGTTTATTGTGGCAGCTGTGTTCTTAACGATGTGGTCTACGTCGTTGGAGGGTAATTTGATGATTTTGAAAATCTGATACTTGTTTTACTTCGGACATTCCAACAGCCATAATTGTAACACGAGTATAACCAGCCAATTACAGGAAGCCGAAGAATTCATAAACTGAATTTAACTGTATCATAACCTATCCATTTTTATGTAGTTCTAAGAATGTTCCCTTTGTTTCTGATCACTGGTTTCTCCCCGCAAGATTTTTTCCTAATTAATAAACACTTTTTTCAGTTACGGGATGTGTCAGTCGTTCAGTCGGTTGAACAGCGCTGAGAAATACGATCAGTTGACTGGGTGCTGGGAGCCGATAGCAAGTCTTAAGGAACCGAGAAGTGGTGTAGGGGTCGTGGCGATTGGACAGAGAATGTACGCTTTGGGAGGATTCGATGGAAAAAACTATTTAAAGTAAGAAATAGCCTTTTTTTTTCTTTCTTACTGCAAGAGAAATTTTGTCTTAGGAATTATTCGATTTAGAATTTAACGAAATTTGAAAAAAGTTCAAAGTTTGGTTACAAAGCTAGACTTTTTCCTCTCCCAGTACTGTTGAGGAATACGATCCTAAGACAGATGTCTGGAAGAAGATAGCACCGATGAAGTATGCTAGACGAGCGCACGGAGCCGCTGCTATAAGCGGGTTAGTGATGAAGTGTATTTTGTATAATTTCACTGTTAAAGTTAGGAATTAGGGTGATATTTCAATATCAGAAACAAATCTGGGTCGCCACTTCATTCCCACTTCATGAATCTGCTGTTTGTGAGATACAAATATGTATACCTTTCAGATATATCTACGTTTACGGTGGTTTTGATGGCACAAACTTTATAAAATCGGTCGAGAGATACGACCCTTATCTAAAGATCTGGGAAAATATGAAGGATATGCCCCTTGCAAAAGCTTACTTTGGTTCCACCGTTTTGTGACAAGTTTTTCAGAGTTAAAGACCCATAGATCTTCGAGATTCTAGTTCCAGATCATCGAACAGACTGTTGAACATTAGAAAATTTTCCCAGGATACCATCCATACAGTTGGTAATGACATATGCCGACATGTAAAAATTACGATGTATTAATTTTAAGGCCCATCAGCCGACTCAAGCAATTACGAGTGATAGGACTGAATATCAACACTGAATTGAGGTGTAGCCTTAATCTGGCTACGCTAATATTTTTTCAAATAATTTTAAATATGTATATTATATAATTTGTATTTAATCGTACTGTGAACCCCGAAATTCGATGTTTTAGAATTGTATGAGTTGCTATCATTGCTGGGCATAAGCCTAAGTGTACTTTAGACAATTTTTATTCGAATTTCAAGAAGTCAAACTTTCATCACAGCTGTATTAACAAAAGTTGATATCACTACGGTTATTGTTTTTCACAAATCCTTAACATCAAATCTGTGTGAGTCATTTGTGAACGTGCATTGTATTTCGGGGTTTAATTGTTGGTACCTGATTCAATGAAACCTGGTATTATTCATTTTACAAGAAAGGGCGATTTCGTCTAAAAGCAATAAGTATCTTCGGCAATATTTGCCCCGAGATGTAGAGTATATATTTTTGTCGATAGATGCTACAGCGATAGCGCTTCGGCAAAATTGAATTACCGAATTGTTGATTGTCTATGTTAGTTTTTATCTAACAATCTTGTATCAAATAATGATAAATGTATTATTATTATTATCATCATCGTGTTTTCTACAGAATTTGATCCACCAGTTTTTTTAATCGGGTACTTGTTGAGTGTGAATTAACTAACATATCCTCTTGATATTTCCTCATTGTTGTAATTTTGATTTATCAAACGCCCACGAAATTCTAAGCTTGATCAATTTAACAAACATTTATTTTAGGTCAAGATGTAGCATAACCAGGAGTAAAGGCTAAACTGTGACGTGCATGTCAGCCTTTTAGACCACCCCATTTTACAACCCACCCCTCTCACTTCACCTCATAATGTCAGATTTACTAGGCTCCATCCTGGACAATATGAAACCACCTCCGTCAACAGCGAATAAAGACTCCATCAGTAAGAAACGTTCACACTTCGTCAGTAAGAAAAGTTCACGTTTCGTACGTCAGTTCCTAAAATTTCTGTGTTCAAGACAATATATCTTTACAGTGAAATGTGGAATTCAAAGAAACGATTAATATCCTCACTGCTCAGAACGAAGGAAAGAGTTGAAACGAAAGATGGAAGAAGATAACAAGAAGCGATCAGACCGAGTGAAGGAAATCGAGAAGGAGGTAGAGAAGTTTGCTTCGGGGACGGAAAAAGAATTGAGTTTTGCGCCAGTCGAAAAAGAGTGGCGTGCCATACAGTGGGTATTATCCAGTTGACTGCCCCAATTTCCTTCTCTGTGAATCTTTAAATTCATTTTGAGCACATTTCACATGTATTCTATGCTGACCCAACAGTCAATTCAGTCAATTAAAGAATGTCAGTCACTTTGGTAGGAAGACGTGTGCACCCTCTTAGCACCTTCTCAGGCACGAGATAGCAGAGATAGCGGGAGTGATATCAGTGAGTTGTTACAACGGTCAGAGCACTGAGAAACACGTGGTTTTGTTTAGAAGAGACAGCTGTCCTGGTGAGGAGGAACTGAAAAAGAGGCGGCTAGGTGAGGTAAGTACTTTCACTGTCTGTGGTATGATATCCAATTATATGATTTTTTGTATTCCTCCACCTCATGAGACTAAAATGCTGTTGAAGTCAATAATAATCTCAAACATGTCTCGAATATACTCACTTTTAATTGAATCACCTTTTACTTTGACCGATTCAACCACCATAAACTGCCCTCAGATGTACATAGAAGGATTCACCAAATCACGACAACAGTGCAGTCCTTCTAAACGTCCCCAGAGAAGTTCCAAAACCCCAGGCTTCGTTCCCTCACGGAATTACCAAGACAAGTATAAGAATATACTAAACACTTCAGAAGTCACCGGTGATAGCAGACAGTTTCATGGTTTAGGTGAGTTGTCACTAATGTTTTCCATTTCATCAACTATATTGAGTGACGCTGTTTTTAATTCTAAAATTGTAATCTTGGTTAAGTTGGTTGAATCATGAAAGTTGCTGAAACCAAGGGAGTTCACCTACGCTTCATTTCAGTGCCAGTGCATATGTTGTGCTCAGAGCCTAAGTCTATCGAGGATTCTCTCAATGAAATCAGGGAGAAAAAGAGACTCAAAAGAGAACACAGTTCCGGAAATTCCGAAGAGTCGGATGATAAATGAACCGTTTATTTAAATGGCATTTTATTGCAGATATTTATACCGTTAGATCGGGTACTCGTTACCTTTCTCTGTCTGTGTTAATTTAAACCTCATATCATTTATGTTGTCTGTTCTGGGAAACAAACCGTTTTAATGGAACCTGGGTGCCAAATCTATCCCGGTGGAAGTAGATATTTATCATATTATTTATAAACTATAATATATTTTATACGTATTTCAAATGATTTTTCATTCGGCCACCATTCTGAATCATTTTATTTGTTCAATCAGTTTAATCCTATGATGCCAATTTAAAGAATTTGTTTAAATATATCGATGAGATACTTAAGAGTGTAACTGTAAATAAGTTGTTTCTTTTAGACGTTTAATCATGATGTCGTATTGTGCCCTGATTTATTTTTCATTTCTTGTTTTCCATGGAAATCAGTGGTTTCTTGTCTTTTATCACACAAAAACCCAATCGGGAAGTTAAAATACTGTCACTCATGTATCTCATAAAATACATGCTTTCTTGATTACCATCAACTGCATTAATTTTGTTATTTCTCACCGGATCATTATTGAAAATTTACTTTGATTAACCGTTATTTATTGTCTAATTTCTAATTGTCTAGGATGCCCACATATAAGATCCTCAAGCCGGAGTGGGACGTTCCGCCCAGTTTATACGGAAAACTGACAAAAGGGACGTTCCTCGAGCCATGGATGTACAGATCTTTTGAAAACTATTTTTAGTGGGTGCATTTTATTTATCCTAATACAAAATTCTACGCATATTACTTCATACTTGCAATGAAGCTCGTAATAATATGTACTATAATAGGATAATATAGTATAATACCACTTGTTTTATTAACAACACAATATTTCAGTTTCAATGCTCCGATTAATGTCTGGGAGAAGGACAGCTCGATGTTTGAACGGATAACGAGAGCGGGCCACATTGGCTTCTGTATTGGTTAGTACATGTCCCTTCTGTTGATAGTACTTGTATGAATCTTCTAGCCGTGGAAATTATTCTATTATAAAAGCGTGATAAGGTGTCATGTGGTGGACTGACTCCGAAGTTTTATATAATGTTGATACAAATTATGATGGTCTGATTTATTCAGACCATCATAATACAACTGTCTTAACTACTGCAGGAATATAACACATTAACTAAAACCCATGTGTCCAGGTGCTCTACAGGGTTTTGCTCAGGGATTCTTACTAAATCTGTCAATGGGTAAACGAGGAGCAGACGTCTGGAAAAACAAGGCTGCCTATAAAATGGGTGCCTTCGGTCTGGGAACTGGAAGTTAGTTACAAACAATTATTTGTAGTCTGATAAATCCTGGATTTTATCTATTTTTAACGCTTAACTATGAGCTTGGATACTATAGCATAGTATGAGTATGACACACTAACACCACCTGAAAATACTCCCCGCAGTTTTGGGCACAACTGCGTTCGCGGTGACAGTCTCACAGCTGAGTAAGATAAACGGTCGAGCTGAGACAACGCTGGACTGGTACTGGGGCGGCCTTGCTTCTGGGGTTGTCACGGTCTGTATGAGTAAGTAATGTGTAAATGTCGGCCTTTTATAATGCTGAGTGGATAACATTGCTGTGCTTTTTAATGGACCATGGGCGGTGATGGTTATTACAAACATTACAATTTAGTTTTGCTAAATATTTCAAGTACGTATTGCTGAACATCACACCATCAGAAGTCAGAATGCAAATTGCTCAGGTCAAGTTAAAGGTACGTTTTTCTCCCGGAAGTGGAACATGGCTTCAATATTCCTGTTCCCCCTATTACCCACCGCTGCTAAGTATTTACATGTAAGTTCCTCTTATTTTTGTTCCCCCTGTTACCCACCGCTGCTAAGTATTTACATGTAAGTTCCTCTTATTTTTGTTATAATATTTTTTGTCATAGGGATTTATCTCATAAGGCTTGGTCAATCAATTAAAGGCGTTAAATGGTCAAACTGCTTACGATCTGCGATTTGTGAGATTCACTCGAGACCATTATATTGGAAAGGATAATGAACGAAGGGTTGGTCACAACATAAACTGTATTGAATATTAAAATAGTGGTAATCCCAACCCACTAAAAATGACCGTTGTTTGTTAAGTTTAAAAGTTATATTACTGATCTCGTATGTACGGGAAAATAATAGGCCATGCTTTGAATATTGAAATAATTTCAGTAAAAACCGCGAAATTCGGTCAAGGGGACGGCAGATAAGCTCCTCTTCAAAAATCTTCCAAAATCCCTTTATATTTTGATGATTTTCTGTTTATCAAAGCTTTCTTTGGGAATAGAACTTTGAGTACCTCAATCGTCTCTTGTGCCATTCTCAGTGACCTTGTAAGATGGTCATTCAAGACAAATTCAGTCAAAACAGTGAACTTTTGGTCGCGGAAAGCTGAAATTTGAACATGTCCTACCGGTCACATTCAAAATTTTCATTGCATCAAAGTTTTCTCCGGATATACAGCTTCCGGTACCTTGATGGCGACTTGTGTCACTCTCACCGACCTTACTTATTTCCGCATTGGTATATGTCATAATGTTTCTCTCGTGTTAACAATATCCAAGATTTAGCTATTTACTACTAGTGTTAGCAATTAACATTTACGCTAAAGAGAATCTTAAAATTGATATCTACTATCCTTGAAAATTATTCTCGTTTATTAAATTACTTTTGTTTGCATGGCTTTTAAATGGTTCCATCAATCTAACTGCCAACTTCAAACTATCCGTCCACTATGAAACTCTACTCAGTTTGTGAACGAGTACGATGACCCAAAAGGGGGCCGGTACCCCATGCAGGCGGGAGGACAGCAGTATCACAGTGTAGCTGAGATGAGGGGACTGTACGGGATCGAACCTCATGAAGCACCCTTCGAGAAGGTTCTGAAGAAGGTATGTATGGTATGTTAGCTATGTTTGGTATGTTAGCTATGTTTGGTATGTTAGCTATGTATGGTATGTTAGCTATGTTTGGTATGTTAGCTATGTTTGGTATGTTAGCTATGTTTGGTAGCTTCTGAGGGGAGGCTATGTTTTGAAGAGATAATAGGGGGTTGCTGATTCTGGCTTATACAATGTTGTATAAAATCCAATTTCGTGACTATTTAATTTTTCTTATGCGAATAGGTACTTACTGCTTATGTGAATACATTTAGATAGTAGAATCACACTTTGACTTTCGAGACGGTACTGTTTATACTAATGTCGGCTACCTCGTTAATTATCTCTTTAACCTCTTACTTTCAGCCGCACGAGAACGACATGTTATTCATGTTGCCACGACAGAACCCCAGATGGAACGACAAGTACAGAGTAGAACAATAACTTCTCTAGTTCAAGTCCGAGCCCACTGAGCGAATGTATAGACATCTGATTGCTGATTAATTGTTAGCGACACTGATATTTGGGACGTTCCTATCATCACTAATCAGGGCTAATTACAAGTATAGAGTTCACTTTTGTGAACTATCAACGTTTCAATTTAGAATTAGTGGATACTATGAAGGGAGCTCCCTTTTGATAATTTATTACTAGGACTTTTGAATGAGTCAAACATGCAAGCGCACTAATATCTCGGTTTTCTATGTATGTACTATAGCTATGTACTTTGCGAACATTTATAGGTTAACGCATTGAATGTGCAATGAAATTAGAAGGTTGAGTAAGACTGATGTGCTGCAAATTGCGATCTCGAGCACAGTCTGATGAGACGTACTAAGTATATTTCCAGTATACTTTAAAGTTAAATCTATTATAAGTTACCTTGCGATCACTCATTTGTATCATGTATGTTGTGGTCATTGCTTCTCAATTTATAAATTACAACATCTACACCATTTCTATTTTATATTTTATATAGTCAGTCACAAATCATTCAAATTGCCTAACTTTAATCAGTCATATTCTCTAGCTGTTATGTAAAGGCTACATCTCGACAGCAGGATCTCACTACCTTGATACACACGATCAGTATCAAGAGAAAACAACAAAGAAGCTAAACAACAACTCAAAACAACAAACTAGTCATACTTCTCTTCTTTGAATGCCAAACCAGTCCCTTTTGACGGGAAGACTTGGCAATAGGAGAAGAACCTGAGCTAGAGCGAAAACAAAGTGACCAGTTTCTGGAATAGTTACTCGATAGAGCACCTGACCAGAATGTCAGCCCTGCTCCCCGAGATGAAGTGTCCTGGTCGGTATTGTGGTCTCTATGAGGGGGTGTGTACTGCGTGTCCTCGTGGTATGAGGGTCGATGTGGCCACTGAGATATGCCAACCTTGTGAGTTACTATTTTATAAAGTTTCTGGGAATAAATTTTTTATTGCAGTCTAACATTTTGATTTGCTGTATAAACTTTAATTGCTGCAATGGTCCATACCTGTTGTTATCTCTAGACTAGTAAGATTTTTAGGTCGTTGATTTTAAATGTTTTAATAGTTGGTTTGCCAGTTAAAACATGGATATTTCCAGGTTTGAACGATCCAGTGACTTATGAGTGGTTGTACCTGGGATTTATGGTTCTGGTCGTTGTGTACTTTCACATGGAATCTCTGACTAGATTCCTTGAAAAAGCTTGCGGAGGTAATTCAAAAATCAAATACAGGTAAAAAAACCTGTTGCTTTTACTGCCCTACAGGACCTTCAGCAATATACTGGGTGTTTCAAAAGTCTTGTAACTTGACTTTTGGCGTCGGTGGAACTTGCTAACCTATCTCGTTTAACGAGTCGTTCGCAGAAAAGTTAACAAGTATTTTTCCAGAGTGTGACGTGAAAAGTACAACGAAGTGGATCGGTGTAGCGCTCCTAGAGACCATATTAGCTGCTTTCTTAACTCTAATTTTATCAGACCCTCATGGTGAGCTACCTGCTACTTTTATAACACATACTTTTCTTTTAATCATGTTTTGACTTTGTGAAGCTGTTCAGAATGGGATATTCTTGGGTTTCGAACATAAGAATCGTTGCAAACCCTTCCGTTATATTACAATTTTTAAAGTTTTATTCACAAATCTATTCCCTGTTTCAGGAAAGTTAAACTTGTATGGCTGCGGTGTAACCTCCTTCTTAGACTGGTATTCCGTCTTTCAAAACCCCACAGGATGCATCCCACACTTCCTTTAAAGTTGTTATTGAATTTTAACAAAAAAAAAAGGGTATTTTGATTTTAAAGGAAAAAACCCTTTAATTTTTTTAAAAAAAAACCCCGTAGCAAGTTTGTTGGGGAAAATTTAACAAGATGTTTTAATTTTTCCTTTTTCTTAAGCTTGATACTTTAATGGTTTTTCTTCATGGCGAACCCTTTGATTCATAAAACGAATTTTTAGTTCCCCCCCGGGGGGGAAAAGAAAATGGGAGGTATTATAGTTTTAAATTTTAAGGCTCCATAAAGCTTTAAAATTTTTTGCCATGTTTTTTAACCCTTTAGAACCGAGAAATTTTAAAAAAAAAATTTTATTTTAAGGGTTTTAAAATTTTAAAATTTGAGAAAAAAAAATCTAAAGAAAAAAATTTGAATGAAATTTTATTTCCATCTTTTTCAACCCCCGAAAAAATCGTTTTTCAATCCTTTTCGGGGGGGTTTGAAAGGGGTTTTTGGGGTCGATTTCTGTTTTTTTAGCCCCCGGGGGGGAATTTCGAAAATTTAAAAAATTTTTTGAAATAAAAACTAAAAAAAAACCGCGGTTTCCAGAATGAAAGTTCCATTTTTTCGAATGAAAATCCTGAAATTTGGAAAACCCCCCCGTTTAAAAAATTTTAAAATTTCCCCCCCCTTTTTTCCGGTATTTTAAAGGGTCCGGGGGAGAAAGAGAAAGTGTTTTCGAAAATTTAAAAATTTTTTTCGAAAAACAATTGACTTTTTTTGGGGTACCCCCGGTTCCTCAGGATCGAATTCCCGTAAATACTATAAAAAATTTTTCCTTTTAAAAAAGGGGTTAAAATTTTTAAACCCCCCCTTCTCTTTTAAAAAATGAAAAAATTTTTAAATAGCGGAAAAATTTGGTTTTTGTTTTTATTTTGTTTTTCTCAGTTGTTACCAATGGAAAATTTCCTGTTTTTCCATTTTAAAGCTTTTTGTGAAGCGGCTGGTTTCGATTTTAGATTTATTAGCCCTTTTTTATTTTTTACCTACTTAAAATAACTTAAGGGGAAAAATTTTGTTTTCCGATTTTTGTTAAAAAATATAACTTTTAAAAGAAACAGTTTTGTTTTAAAACCCTTAAATTAAAAAATGAAAAAAAAGTAATTTTTAATTTAAAGGTTAAAAAGGGGAAACCGTTCTAAAAAAAATAAGGGGTCAATTTTCCCCTTTTTCCCGGGAAAATTTTTCCCTTTTTGGATTCCAACCCCCCCCCCCCCCCCCCCCCCCCCCCCCCCCCCCCCCCCCCCCCCCCAAACCCCCCCCCCCCCCCCCCCCCCCCCCCCCCCCCCCCCCCCCCCCCCCCCCCCGGGCCCCCCCCCCCCCCCCCCCCCCCCCCCCCCCCCAAAACCCCCCCCCCCCCCCCCCCCCCCACCCCCCCCCCCCAAAAAATTTTTGTTTTCCAAGAAATCTCCAAAAAGGTTTTAAACAAAGATTAATCCCAGGGGAAAGATTCGGGGTTTTTAAAACTTCTTGTTATCCTTTGGCCCAAAATTATTTTATGAGTTTTTCGGCCCGTGCTTTTCAAAGCCCCTTAAAAAATGGCATTAAATTTTTAAAAATCCCATTATTTTGTTTTTTGGGGAACTTGATTTTTCCTTTTGAAAGAAGAAAATTGTGAATGTTGGAAAATGTTCGATGCTCTTGAAAAAGTTTGTGGGGATGAAAATTTGCGTTGGGTGCTCCAACTTCACAGAAAATTGTTTACGAAGGCAGGAAAATCTACTTCCACCATTTTTGGCGCCAACTGTAAACTCATACCGAACGTGTTCCATTCTTTGGACTGTAGTCTTAATTTTGATGAAGTTGTAGATTGGTTGGGTAGATCGGATAAAGTTGCAAATCTTTGGATGTTCTTTGAGGGATTATTGACTTGGATGAGGGCCAATAAGAATTTGAAAGTCAAATGTTCATCAGGGTTTCTGAAACAAGTTTGTGAAATAAGAATGGAACGAAATTGGGAAAGAATTGCTGGAACCTTCGCAACCTATTATTCAGATATGAACGAGTTTTTTGGTCCAATTGTATGGTGTTCATTCCTTTTCGCATCGACTCTCAAAGAAACAAGTTGGGAAGTTGCCAGTTTGGAAGAACAACTTTCGTTCAACAAAATTTTCTCCCTATTTGAGAAAGAAACAAAGTTACTGTTTTTCAGCGGGTTTGATATTGTACCAAATTGTTCTAAACCTGGGGGATGTGGATACGTCATAAAATCAGTGCCAGCTAAAGACGGCGCTAACTTTGTTCTTTCTACTGATCCAAATGATTACTCAGATGAAATACACTTTCATAGTGAGGTTAAAGCTGAAGATATGCATCTTCTTTTGGAATGTTATGATTCAGACGATAGGATAGTTCCACTTTGTTGGTCCAGTAGACCTGAATACAAAAATGGTAAAGTTTGTTGGGATTCATTTCCTGTGTCAACAAAGGACATGGCTAAAAGTTGCGAACTGTTTTTGTTTTTCGAATACAAACCAGCAACTTCGTGTGTAAAATAGCACACGTGGTATATCAAAACATATGGGCTGCAATTGAATCACAAAATTGTGGAAAACAATAAACGTATTGTCGAGAACATACTCTAAATTGGAATAGTATTAACTTAATTTGATCATTATTTATATTATTTACATATTTTAAATTTTACATTTGATTATATTACATAAAATACAATGTCAGTATTATAATCTATTTATAACGCGGCGTTTTGTATATTATGCTGTCATGCTGTGTCGACCGCTGCTACATTAAAAAATGACAGTAATATAAAATATTAGAATATGTGAAGAGATTAAGTTTCAGCGTGTCATGTTCTTTTAAGTTCCTAGTTAAATCAGTTCGTGTAAACCGGATAACGACTATTACATTTTTTTCCTTTCATACTTTGCATCGTTCCTTTTTGAACTTGTTACAGTGTGTGTTATGCGATTACTTAGCCCTTCCACTTAGGCCTTTCTATAGAAAAGGGTTACCCCATGGGGTTTTACTATAAATAAGTCCGAGATAACGGACTTTTAGTAAACGAAAAAATTTTTAAAAAAAAGTTATTTTTGGAAACTTACAATACAATTCATGGCGGTTCAAAAATTGATTTCTTAAAAATTTTTCCAAGATTTAGGAAGACCTTCCTTCGGCTTTAAATTCAAATTCTATCCCCCTCCAGGAAACTGGTCCCAAATTTTTCTGTGGCCGAAAATTTTGGTTACCGGTTGCTGGAAAATTTTCCAACCCCATTAAAATGGAACTAAAAGAGTCGGCATTTGTATACCCCCGTTCGTGATCCCTTATCTTTCAAAAGGTCCCGGATGATTACATGACCAAAATTTTATCGAAGGGGAGTGGTGGATTTAGCGAAAAAATTTGGAATTTATGTTGAGTAGCCTAAAGGGAAAAAACTTTCAAAAAAATTTTCAAAAATTTTTTAAAAATAGCCCCGTGTTTGAAATTTTGGCTGGTTACGATGGTTGGAGCAGGTTCGTCGGGAAAATTGTGAAGCTAATTGGAATATCCCAAATTTTCAGGGTTAAATTTTTCCATGTTTTCAAGGAACATTTTGTTTATTCCAAGCTTCAAAGCCGCAAAAATTTTTGGTTTGCGGGAACAAGATCTGACTCTCCGCGGAGAAAATTTACCAGGTTCCCTGGAATCCCTCTCGGAACACTTTTTTGATGGGGCTTGTTGGACTTGAGTTGGGTTTATTTCATAGTGCATTTCCCTTCCAAACTCATCCCTTTTCTTAAAATAAAATATTAGTTTTGCTTTAATAATTATTTGAAAAACCTTAAGTTGTCCTAATGTAAAAAAGAAAATGCTAGTTTGAGTTTTCAAATTGTTCCCCGTAAGGAAAAATTGTTGGATGAATTTTGGATGGGTTGTAAATTTTAAGAAAAATTCTTTGGAGAACGGGGGAAAAATCTAATTCCACCTTTTTCCCAAGAAAAACTCCCTACCAAGTCCCATTTTTGGACCCTTAGCCTTAATTTTTATGGATTTGTTTTAAATTGGTTAAAACTATATAAAAGTTGGAATCCCTTTTTTTAAAAAAATTCTTTTAAAAAATTATTCTGGTTTAAATAATTAAATTTTCCCCTTAAAGTCGATTTTTCATTTCCAAGGTTTCGGGACAGTTTTGTAATTAAAATGGAAACGGAAATTTTTTGGGGGGGGGGACCCCAAAATTTCCCGGGAAACCCTTTTCAACCCATTTTCAGATTCAATGAGTTTTTTTCCAAGTTGGTGTCCAAATTCCCTTTCATCGACCCTTAAAGAGATACAAAGCTGGAGGAGTTGGCGCTACTGGGGAAAAAAAGAAATTTTTGGTTCAACAAAATTTTTAAATTTTGGAAAGAAAAAAAGATGTTTTTTAGCGTTGTCGATATTGTAACCAAAACTTTTAAGGGTTGGGCCCATGTGGACACGAAAAATTTATTCCGCTAAACCGGAAAGGGCTTAACTTTTGTTTTTCACGATTCCAAAGGTTTAGTCAATGAAATACCACTTTTATATGATTAAAGCTGGAAGATATGCATCCTTCCTTGGGAATTTTAAAAAGACAATGTTTTGGATATTTCCACTTTGTTGTCCCAGTAAAAAAAATGTATTTTAAATTGGTTTAAAGTTTGTTGGGATTAAAATTTCCTGGGGGTCCAAAAACATGGAAAAAATTTGCGGAAAATGTTTTTTTTTTCGAATAAAATCACAACTTCGGTAAAATGGTTTTAAAAGGGGGGTATTATAAAAACAAAATTTTGGGCTTTAGAAACTATGGGGCCCAATTTTTAAAACCAAATCGAATGCAAATTTAAACAATTTTTTGTGAATATCAAAATTGGGAAAGAATTACTTAATTTGAACATTATTACATTTATTTAATTTTTCAATTTTACATTTGTTTATTTTTTACTTCAAAAAAAAGCGGGAAATTGGGGGGAACCCAATTTGTTTTAAAATTCAAAATTGGTAAAAATTAACCCCCTTTTTTTTAAGTGGGTTGATTTTTCTTCAGATTTTTGGAAAAATGAACTGGAAACAGAAGTTTTTAGAAACATGTAAGGAATTATTTTTGTTAAAAATGCCTTTTTGGTTGTTTTCAGAAGAAAAATTAAAAAAGTGTCGTAACCTGAACAAAATAAGGTAAAGTGAAAGGAAACAAAGGACATCTAAATTGGCAAAAGTTTTTTTTCGAAAAATCAAACTGTAATAGAAACCGGTTATCGGAAATGGCCTTTCAACTAGGGCTGCTAATTCCTAAATTCCCAAAACCATACAACTTTCGAAATACTCCAAGTTGGTTGTTTACTTATGGTCAATTCATAACTAATTACTGCTGAAGATTACCTGGTTAGCGAATTTCGTAATTTTTAATCTTTTTATTCTTGTTTTTATTGTTTTTGGGGGGGTGCGTCCGTCTAATTCGCCCAAAAAGCCCAAGGAGACAAAGCATAGGGACAAGGGAATGAAATGCTTCTTCTTTCCATTTCCCAAACTGTCCCAAAACTGTTATTTTTGGGCCCCTTTAAATCAGATTTTCCCTATGGTTTTAATTTTAAAGGAAAAAAAGAACACAAAAACTTACATAAACACAAAAAAGGAATAAAACTTTTAATGCTTTCGGCTTCCCCTTTTCCCGGTTTTCGTTTCCTACCTCTTCCATATCCGGTTTCCCCTCCTTCTCACAGTTCCCTAGCCAAGTTTCCCCGCCCCCCCGAGGGGTTTCACTGGGTTTTATTCTCTCTTCAATCTTCACCCAACCTATAAAGTGTCCAACCTTGTAAATTCCCCCCTTTTTTTTGTCCAAAACCCCACATATCAGTGGTTGGTTTCCTCTTTCCCCCTGTTATTTAAAGTTTAGCCTAGCTCCTCCCACCCCTCCCCTTCTCCCCCCCTTCAACCCCCTTACTCCCCATCTCTCCTGGTTTATTTTTGGTCCTTTAGCAGGTTTCCAGTTCCCTCCCCCATTGTCTTCTGCCCTTCTCGTCCCCCTCCATTTTTCACCCCCACACAACCTTCGGTCCTACCCCCGGGACCTCCTCCTCACCTCCCTCCCCACCCTATTATTCTTACGTAGTAGTTAAACTCTGTCCGTTTTTTTTCTTTTTCCTACCTTAATTGTTCCAGGAGTATGAAAACCCCCCCAGGGGGTGATTTTTCAGGAGGGGGGCCCCCCAAGGCCCCAGGGGTTGTGAGGGGTTGTTTTGTTTGATCCCCCCCCCCCGTTTTATTTTGTTTGACGTCCATTGGGGTTAGTGCCCCCCCCCGTTTTTTTTGTATTTTGTAGTAGTTTTTTTTTTTTTGGGGTTTGATTTTTTTAAGTTTAAATTTGTTTTAGATTTTTAATTATTTGTTATTACCTTTAAGATTTAAAAATGCCCCCGCCAGATGCCACAAGGATCCCCATTATAAACCCCCCGTCCCCTCCAAAATTCCCGTTTTTTTTTGGATGGCCAATTCCTTTTTTTAAAATTAGCTTTCTGAAGGTACAGTTTAAAACTCGAAAAAAATCAAAAAACTTTGAACTTTTTGCCGTTCCGGCTTCCCTGAATTTTGTTCCACCCAAAAAAAACCCTTTTAGATAGTCCGTTTCCGGAAAATCAACGAAAATAACAGTTATCCCCCGGGGGCTGAATTTTTTTAAATTTTTGTTTTTGGCCAACCTTGAAACCGAAAAATGTTTCTCGAAACTTTTTTTTAAATTTGATTTTTTAGTTTTTTCCCTTCCCCAGAAGGGGTTTTGGCGAATTAAAAAAACCATGGGATTTTTTTGAAAAAAAATGGTGTAAAATTTCTGGCACAAACATAAAAAAATAAAAATCCCTTACTAATTAATTAAAATTTTCCCAACTAAATCGGGGTTCCTTCCCCGCATAAAATTAGGGATTTTCCCATTTTGTGTGATTTCCAAATTGTGATATGAACAAAAAATACTTATGGGTTTGTGCGCGTGGATAGTTTGATTAAATAAATTTTTACCATTTCCGTAACCCCTCAATTTTTGGTTTTATTTGGGGATTAAAAATTTTGTTTTGTTTTAAAAAATTGTGGCCCCAAAAACTTTTTTTTCGGGAAATTGAACACCCCCGTTCCAAATAAAGGTAAATTTCTAAAAAATATTTTATTTATTGAAATTTTCCTGGAATTTCAAAATACAAAGTTTTGCCCTGACCCTTTAAAATAAACCCCTCAAGTTTAAAAGTTAATTATGAATTATGCTTTTCCAACATAAACAAAATCCCCAATCTGAAGAATACACAGAACAGTAGTTTGTCAAAGATAAAGATATGTAACAATAACATGTGACTTAATGAAATGTCTCTCTAGGATGGAAATCACTCCGACGGAGTATGATGTGATAGTGATTGGCACCGGGATTACAGAGTGTATAATCGCAGCAGCATGCTCCAGGATTGGTAAGTGGGCTGGTTTTTAATTCGCAGGGGCGGGGGTGAGGGGGTCATTCTCAGTTATATTTAGTTCTATTTAATTCCCGGGGGGGGGGGGGGGGGGGTCATTCTCAGTTACACTTAGTTCTATTTAATTACCAGTTTAATACACATCGTGTTGTAAATTAAAGTCGACACTTAAGACCATTTTAAGTATATTTTCTAAAAACTGTTTTAGTTTAATTTTACCCAATTACTTTAATTGCTGCCACATGACTTATTACTGTTTCATATTTCTTCAAGCCCTCTCTCCGTCTCAGCTCAATTTTTATAGTATGTAATAAATTTCAGGGAAAACTGTCCTCCACCTTGACATCAACAGATTCTATGGGGAACAATGGTCTTCATTTACCCTCTCCGGTCTGGAGAATTTCGTTAAAGATGGCCCTCCTTGCCTCAGTGGGGATAATTTCAAGTACAAACATTTCATGCAGAACCTTGATTATATCGAGATGCCTTTGGATCAGGTGAAAAAAGAATCAGATGTAGAAAAATCAGCTGATTTAGAGGTTTCTGAGCCGAACAAAGAAAAAGAAGACGGCGCCACAGCAGAGTCAGAGGCAGAAACAATCCCTCAAAAACCACAATGGACATCGGAAAAGTTCCAGAAATCCAAACGGCGAGTGAACATTGACATAACACCAAAACTGTGTTACAGCGCTGGTCACATGGTCGAGCTACTCCGGAGTTCAAATTGTTCCCGATACCTGGAATTCAAGGCTGTTAACCGGAGTTTTGTGCATCACGAGAGTGAGCTGATTCAGGCGCCTTGTAATCGGGAGCAAGTTTTTAACTGTAAACATTTGAAGGTTTTAGAAAAACGGATCATGATGAAATTTGTGACATTCGCCCTTCAAGTGGACGTGGAGAGCGAGGAATTCCAAGAGTGGGATAAGAAAGAAGACTTGGAATTGTATAAATATTTTAAATTAACCGATAGTTTGATCAGCTTAGTCCAGGCCTCTTTGGTGGTATCAAATAAAGATAAGGTATCCGCTCACGACGCAATACGATCCATTAAGCATTATTTGAAGAATGTAGGAGTATACGGAAGCATGCCATTTATCTGTCCTATATACGGAGCAGGAGAACTCCCTCAAGCTTTTGCTAGATTCAGCGCCGTGTTTGGCAGTATTTACGTTTTGGACATTTCACCTTCAGAACTCAAATTTGACGAATCGGGAGTATTTTGCGGGGTGACTTTGCAAACAGGTCAGAGTATAAAGGGACAGTATTGTGTCGTGTCCCCTAATTATTCCTCAGACTCAACAGAAGGCTCCCCTGAAGGACTGATATCCGTATCTCACGCTGTGTACCTCACGGACTCTTCCATAAAACCCAAACTAAAAGTAGGCGAGCAAGACGACATTTCACTCATTCACATCCTCTCCGGTAAGATGGGAAACGACAGAGCCGTCTCTGGCTTCGAGTTCGGACCGAGGAGCATGCTGCCTGCGGAGGATATGTACATGGTACATTTAACCACCCCCGGAGGGGATGCTGACCTTCCTAGATCTGATCTGGAGGCGGTGGTTGATCAGATTACTTGCAGTACTCACGTTCTTTACAAACTGTTCTTCACTACGAGGATGTCTGCGGAGGGAAGGAGTGTGGAGCCTAGTCTTGATAATAATATGATAAGAACTTCGTTTCCTACCTACAATGCTGGTTATAGTGAAAGTATAGAAGAAGCTAAAACATCGTTCCATTTGATGTATCCAGAAGAGGAGTTTTTGCCGGCAGCTCCAAATCCGGAAGATATTAAATGGCCGGAAGAGGACGAGAGTGAAGTTGTCGAGAAAGAGGCTCCAAGTGAACAGCAGGAAGATATGACTGAAATTTCTGAGAAGATAGTGGACGATATAGATAAAACTGCTACTGATGAACTAAAAGGGGAAGATGTTTCGTCCTAAAATCCCATTGCTGATAGTTATCATTATTAAAACCTGCGATAAGTTTTAAATTGAAATTTTTTGTGTTTGATCGGGTTTGACTGGATTCTTGAGCTTATTTAGCATTTATCGTGACTGGATTATTGCGTGAACTTTGGTTTTTGAAATTATATTTTTATCTGGTAATTTAAGATTTATTCAGTGTTATGTGAAATAATTGTACTAGTGCGTTTGTCGAATTTGTTTTTCATACATAAACATTAGAATTTGCATTTTAACTGACTTAGTATCATTCTTAAGAGTTGATATATTAGCAAAGACAGATTAACATATTATGTACCGGATTTACATGTTTTACATTACATGATGCATGTTTTGAGATTTTCTTTTGAGTAATTGGCTTATACCATCGTAGGTAGATGTTCAAATTGGGGCTTCCTATAGCTTTGGGAGCAGCATGCGGTGCACTTACGGTAAGTTGATTAGAACTTTAATTAGAACTTTAATTAGTAATTTAATAATGATAATTGTAATATTCATACAGTATTCTATTTAACGTGTTGTCAGAATGCAGCATGTATCAGATATCAGTGAGAATCAATATCGACCACCTGTCTATTTTTAAGCGCTGTAAATGTCAATGTTTGAAAATCAACCTGTCCTATTATATTGAACAGTCATTCATAGCATTTTATTTCAGATTCACAAACTCTACGGTGACTACCCTCTTTTTGGTGCGGAGCTGGAACTTCCCGCGGATCTAGAAGGCAATCCTATGGATGGAAAACCTGTTTTTCGCATCAGACCACGCTCCGAGATCGTAGAACATGTTAGTCAAGTTTGGAGCATGGAACTCCGAATTATAATAGAAATTAATCAGCCATTTTTTCTCTTTGAATATTTGAAAAGATAGTTTGTTGAAAACAGTTTAAAGTATGGTTTGACACTAAAAAAATGTTAAGTCTTTCAATAGCTTCGTTTTTTAGGCAGCTCGATACAGGAAAGAGGTGACCCCTAAAAGATCACTTGAAGAAATCCAAAAAGAAGTTAAGGAGTGGGCAGATGACTACGACAAACAGAATGTACGGGCTCCTGAAGAGGTTTGGGCGAAGATAGACAAGTACGGCTGGTTAGCGACCTTGTCGTATCGAGCCGGACTTACTGAGCTTGAAGATGTGTTAAAACACGATGATGAAGGGTTGGAAGTGTTAGACGATCAAAAAGGGGGAATTGAGCAGATTTTTGAGTCAATTGATAGTGAGAATGTTACGACTTTAGAATCAGTTCTCGATGAAAATGTTTATATCTCTGAATCAGTTCTCGATAAAAATGTTCATATCTCTGAATCAGTTGTTAATGAAGATGCGCAGACCCCAGAGACTCAATCAACAGTTGAACTAGATGAGACTGAAAGTTTGTTAACCTCAGATTTAAAGGAGGATATTAGTGAACGGACTTCAGAAATAATCTTAAATAAATCTCTAAGCGCTCCAAATATTATAATAGTCGATGAGAGTTCGCGGATACCCGAAGAAGTTTTATTGGACGATGTTTCGTAAAGTAAGTTAGTGTTAGTGACCCACAGATCAAGCTTAACCTTTTTATAACACAACTTACGATTCGTATTTGAACAAATTAGTTTAATTTATTTATAGCGAGTAAGAACTTTTGTTTTTGTTTTTTAATTTATTTTGTATTGAACTTTGTTTATTGAACTCAGATGTGGCCCAGTTCATGTATTTATCTTAGTTTTAAATATTTTTGACACGTTTACAAACTGGTTTACAAAAACGATTCATACTTATTTTCGTTTGATATTGAATATTGATGTATGAAACTAAGATAATTTAATTAAAAAAAACTAATACTAGAAGAAATTTAATACTAATACATACATCTTTAATGTAATCCTTCACTCCAGTAAGTATGGCGGTTTGTATAGCTATTCTAACGAAAGACAACTGCCCCCTGTACCTAACCTGCGAGAACACGGAGGATTCTCTAAAGATGCACTTTCTTGTGCACACTTCTATTGATGTAATAGAGGAGAAACTGAACTCAACCAAGGCTGCTAACGATCCTAGGTAAGGTGATCTCTAGATATTATTATATAGGTGATCTCTAGATATTATATAGTGTTAAACAAGGAACTGAAACCGAGGGGTTCCGTTCAGGCCCTTCACACTTTGTTGCTGTCTAGTTCTAATGTACCGTCACAATAGTGACTTTAAATATATATTATATCTGACGGCAAGACCGGCTGATAACTTAGCGTCATGGCTCCATTACCTAAGTAAATGTACAGCAGATTTTGTCATCATGGCTCCATTACCTAAGTAAATGTACAGCAGATTTTGTCATCATGGCTCCATTACCTAAGTAAATGTACAGCAGATTTTGTCATCATGGTTCCATTACCTAAATAAATGTACAGCAGATTTTGTCATCATGGCTCCATTACCTAAGTAAATGTACAGCAGATTTTGTCATCATGGCTCCATTACCTAAGTAAATGTACAGCAGATTTTGTCATCATGGCTCCATTACCTAAGTAAATGTACAGCAGATTTTGTCATCATGGCTCCATTACCTAAGTAAATGTACAGCAGATTTTGTCATCATGGCTCCATTACCTAAGTAAATGTACAGCAGATTTTGTCATCATGGCTCCATTACCTAAGTAAATGTACAGCAGATTTTGTCATTTTCCTTTCATCAACAGGGACCTGTATTTGGGACAGCTCTACCCAAACGAGGATTACAGGATATTTGGATACGTTACAAACACAAAGATTAAATTCGTTGTACTGGAGTCAGTAAACCACCCAATAAAGGTACATTAACTCAACTTTATATCAACTTTCGTTCTTTATATCCTTTTTCTCCTTTGTTTGCGAAGGCACATAACATCTATCGTAACATACACATTACACACGTACCCACTACCCATAAAATATTCGCTGCCGAGAAATTTGTACAAAAACCGTATGATCTCTATTTTTATACGAAGTAATATTATTAAAAGTAATATTCAGGATGGAGATATCAGGCAGTTGTTTAGTCGGATACACAGTGCCTACATATCACTGGTCTGCAATCCTTTCTATATGCCAGGAGACCCTATCAGCAGTGTTCCCTTCAAGAAGACCATATCAGGGTTGTTGAGAAGTAACTATATGAGTGCTCGGATATCATGAGAACACGTGGTATCACGTGGTTATTAGTGACCAATAAGTGACTAATAAGATGGTGTTGAGATGTCAGATGTCATGTTTTGGTGAGATTGTCAATTGCCGGGTTGAATAGGATATCAGTACTGACCCGGCCTCTTCCATTTTTTTTGTTGATGTTGACTGCTGGATGATGTAATGAATAAATTCTATGACATCCATTTTAACTTCGAGAATTTACCAGTGAACGTTTTTAGATATTATTTTTGTTTAATTTTGATTAAATTCTTTAATAATTTGAGAATTATCTGAGAAACTTGTGTTATGATTTTGATTTCGATGATGATTAAGTTGTCTCTGAAGTCTTTGGAACTTAATAACACTGTTTAATATGATCTGGTAGACAGGTGTCTGCGGACAACTGTCCGCGGACAGTTGTCCGCGGACAGTGGTCGGGCTATCTCGATACTGCCCACTGTTTAATGTTTATCAAGACTTTAATGTTAATGATAGGTTTATTTGTCCTGGGAAATAATTTTCCTAAGCCCATCAGTTCTTAGATTTATTATTATATCAGTAAGTAAACCCTTTAAGGGGACATACACCAAAACCTTTTTTGTGACTGATTTAACTAAATAAATCCGCAGCTAGCCATGAATCTCCGTCTTCTGTCCAGGAGCCTTCTCAAAGGTGCCCCGATTTTACTAACAAAGATCCAGCCCAACCTTCCCACTCTAGCTCTAATTCATAACCCTCAAACAATCTGCACTCGGCACTTTTCAAGCGTTGATTCGCAAGTAATCTCGTCAAGTGATGAACATTTCAAGTCGGAAAGTACTGTGCAGCTACAAGAAATCGAAATTAGAAAAAAATGGTTTATGAAAAATCAAGCAAGTCTGTTTTCAGATCCGCAATTCTTCCAGACTCCAGTTTTAATGCTACACTGTTCTTGGACGGACTTTGCGGTGTCATTTCATGCTCCCGATAAGTTAGAAACTTTCCAAAATCTTTCCAAAAAGTTTGAAGTTTTAAATCGTATTTTCTCTCGCTTTCAAGATCCAGTCTGCTATGAATGTAAAACACTTGCTTATTTGCTGATATTCATGTTTCAATCCTATTTCCAGGCTAGATGAGTTGGACTGCTTGTGGTCGTGTTTTCCATGTGACCTCAAGATATATGGGTTTAAGCAGCGCACTGAAGGTAAGTTTATACATTAATGAGTTAACAGTATAGCTTACTTAATCCTATTATATTTGATTTGAACTTTGAACTTATCAGCAGATATTTTACTTCTTTCATCAGGTTGAGAGAAATAGATGTGTGGGCTTAAGCAAACAAATTAATTCAGATAAAGTGTACATGTATATTGTATACACTTTATACATACGTTGTGTCTCAGTGTCAATCGATCAACTACTTAATCTAAATCTGACATTTTCCCAGCTAAGACAGTTCAACTCCTTCTCGTGCGAGCGAGAGGAGCTATGAAGAAATACGGAGTTAAGAAATGTAGAATAGCTTTCAAGGGATACCAGTCAAATACATTGATACCAGCACTAACTTATCTGGAGTCGTTTCCGTTCGAATTTATCAGGTTAGATAAACTTTTCTCTCTTTATAATATTCTGTAATTTTATGGTATCCATTAACTTTAAAAAATATTATTATCATAATAATCTCTACTATACTTCAGATACCCGTCAAATTAGACAGCGAACTGAAAAAAGTTTTTGAAAATAATGTATCAAAATAAATCAATTCCTATTTCGTATGAAATATAATAACCAAAATATCAATTTAAAAAAACCACAAATGTTGCGAAATTTATTCCCTCTATTTCAAATTCATTCAGTGTACAAACAATCATTCAGTGTACGAAAATAACAGTTTCTTTACTATTCTATTACAATTGTCGTTATTAGTTTGAGTCATTGAACTCAAAGGCTTCCATATTATCGGTATTGATGTCGTCATAGCTGTTTTGCCATCTTCTCTCCATATTCTTAAATCTCATCTCGTCCATGGGCATGTTGCTGAAGCAGATTCGTCGGACGGAGATGTCATGGTAAGCCCGGTAGTACATGCAACCATCTGACAAGCTCTTCACCACCACATACATAGAGTCTGAGAGAACATAATCCTCGTGATCAGACTTCTTGTGGTCTCTGATGACTCCTTTGGGAATATCAGCAGCGTTCATCAAGTGGAATGTTTGCATCACGGCATCACTCCTGTATTGTGGTTTGTCAGCAAATCTGAGCAGAGCAGCAGCTTTGACAAACCTGGAAGAAGACATGTAATCACCAGGAATACCAGCTAATCCTGAACCCGATCCAGAGGGAAGGAAGAACTTTTCACCTTCAAAGTCGTAGCTGAATCCCTCCCTGTTCTTGTTTCGAAGCTGTGGGTAGTTCCTCAGATTTTCCATGTGCCAATCAAAGGTTGGGGAGTTGGTGAACACACCGATTGTGTTGTTGTGCATCCTTCTTCCTCCCTCTTTTGTGTACTCCAGGACCATTCCTTCACCACTGTTGTCAACAAACTGATAGTGAACTGGGTGAGTCATGTTGAAGTCTTCCTCTGAGTAGACCATGGGGAATGTGTTGTTGTCAATGGCTTCTCTAATTTCATGGACATTGGCGAAGCTGGCCAGAACGTACTCGACGAGTCGGATTTGGGAGACAGCATTGCTGCAGTTTTCTCCTCGAACAGTTTCATTTTCTGGAAAGTAAGAAAACTCGGGGAAGTGGAGAGCGCTAGCGGATAGTCCAGCACTGTTCATGCCATCACTATCAAATTGAGACCAGTTGCCATTCTGTAACCTCATCCTTGTAGTGAATGTGTGGTACTTACTTTCGAACTCGAATGATTCTGCGCAGTTTGGAAGTTCAGGCATGTTGTGTTGAGAACCGGCTGGGAAAGACAGGAGGTAACTGTCCTCTGTCGCGAACTCCATACTCCTACCAACGACAACTGATCCGTCTTTCGCGATCATCCGGATTTCCTGACATTGCTCACTCAGAACCAACAGTGTGGCTACAGTTAGCAACAGTTTCATAGCTCAACCTAAGCTAATGAGTTAATAGATTTTTAAGGTTACGTGGTATTATTATCGATTGCACTTGCAATCATAAACGTTTAAATCCTCGTAAATTCAAAGAATCAAGCAGCATGAAATGGTATTATTATATCGAGAAAAGAACTTAAATATCAAAAATTCCCAATTTTTATGTGGAACATTTACCTTTTTACAGATAAAACAAAAATCTAAACTGAAGATACGTACGTGATTAATGGCTAAACTAAAGATACGTACGTGATTAATGGCTAATCTGAAGCATGCGCGCCTGATATACTCGGATAAAACTCCTCTGCAAGCATTTCTTCTTCTTCGCAAAGTTATATATATGTATACAGCCCGATGAATAATACACGTGTATTAATAATTTTTACGCCGCGCGAGTTGAATATCAAAATCTGAACGAGCCCTAACATGTGACATGGAATCCGAATGCTTTGTCATGTTGTAGAACTACTAATCCATCATCAAAATTATTGAAACGTCTCGTCTTGTAATACTAATAGTAAATAGCCAAGACATAGGGAAAGTTTAACATTTTGGTTACGTATAAAGGAGAATGTTCGTCAAAAGTACCAGAAATTCTAAATAAAAACGGCTGTTTCATTAAAAGTTAGAAAACTGTGTTCAATTTTCGAGGATGAGAAGTTATTTCAGCGGATCAATTCCTCGCTGCTCAATTTCGGCTACGTTAAAAGAAGTTATCTAGTAGCAATGCCTATAGCTGTTTATACCCATGGTGTGATTTTAGTTCGGGACTTAATGTCAAATGACCAAATAATAAAATTCGGCATTAGAAACGAATCGTATCATACATGGTTCTCACTTCCCGAAGAATTGTAGTCGAAGGATTAATGGTGCTACACTGTAAGCAAATTTTCTAATGCCGATCAGAAGTTGTTGTTCAATGATATGATAAAGACAGTATCGTATTGTCATTAGTACCACAAATAAGACTCATTACAATTTACAACCAAAACCCTGCGCAACAGAAAATGAAATCATAACATGAAATTGATCGAGCAAACCAGAGGTCCAGTGCGATTGTGTTGGAATATAAAATGCGCGCGCAGTTTTTCAATTTATGCACGCGCGTGATCTGAACGCAATAATATGTCAAATCGAAATAATCACGTACGTAGTACGCCACTTTGACTTAGATGCATAAATGCGCGATGCAAGCATTGCTTGCAATCCTATCAAACAAACTTAGCGGAGGAGAATGGGGGGGGGGGGGGGGGGGCAATGGTAATATTACCTCACTGATGGAAGATATTCCATACATTTATAATGATCCTAATCCCTTTCCCTCAGTGTAACAGATCTGACGAGGAAGATAGGAGAAGTGAGTCCTGTTTACCAGCGTCCTCTCCCTCGATATCCTCACCACAAGGTCCCTCTCATGCGGGCCATGAAAGATGGACCCGAATTCGCACCTAAGAATCTTATCGATAAGTTTAGACGGTAAGTTTACTCTATCTTGTTTAATTGTACTTAGTCAGGTATAATTGTTATTAAATCTGGTATAAGATTCGATAGATGCGCTGTTAAAGGTACTGATGCTCGACTTCAAGGTCTTGTCATAGGATCTAGTTTGTTGGTTTTAGGTTGAATGTTACATATATGAGATTTAATTTTGTTAGTTACTTAAGTTTATATCCCGTCATTTCAGATTAAATGTTAAGTGGGTTGATTTGGAACAAAAAGGACAAGGACTCAGCATCAAGTCCGACGCTGCTAAAGCGAGCAAGCGTGGTTACATCTTGAAGAAGTCACAATCGAAAGAAAAGAAGCCGCCGGTTAGAAACCTTATGGCACCTCTAGACCCACCGTCGTAAGGGACAGTTTTCTCAACCTATACTTCAAGTTTAGGATTTTGTATTTAAGATAGGTAAATTATTTTTCAAAGTAAAATGGGCCGGGATCAATACGGAATTTAAGGCATTGTTTCAAATTGACTTTTTATTAGAAATAGCTTCTTCTGAAAGTCTGAACGACTACGATGTCATTCTGAATTGAAAGTAAGCGATACTCGACTGATTTTTATAAATTAGATTGTAGAAATTACTCGCTATCTATATAATTAATTTCATGTTTTGAATTCGGTTTATTTATTGTTACCTCTTGGTAAACGTTATCAGTGCTTAACAAATGAAATGATTGCAAAAATGTCAAAACATAAAACAGCTTCGAACCGAATACATAAATATAATAGAATGTCAACTCTATAAATTATAGAGTTTAATAATAATAAGTTATATAATATAACTTTATAATTGTATAATCATGATTTTCACAACTTAGTACAAAAATTAAGAAAAAGAATTCTGATCTCAGGTAGAACTTCAAAAGTTAAAAGGTTAAATGTTGGTATTCAAGATGTAGTGTAGTTCACAACTTAGTGGCGAAAAACGCAATTTCTGCTTAACTTTTCTAAATTGCAATTTCTCAATCATGCAACTGTAATACATTGGGGGAATTAATAATTATTCGATAATTGCGATTGCACAGTCCTATCTGTTTAAAATCTGTTCGCAATCTGTTATCAATCAGCTTTTAAAATGTTATAATCTGTTTACAATTACAAAACGTTACACTAAGTTCACGATCTGTTTACAAAACGTTACAATAAGTTTACAATCCGTTGCCCTGCTGTTTACGATCTGTTGGCCTGGGGAGAATTAATAATGCTGTTAGTGTTAGTGTTAGTGTTCATATTGCTCTGACCAGCCCTAGAGGCCGCTGTAGTGATATGTGAAGCCCCCGCGCTTCCGCAACTCAGCACGTGCAAAAACTCTCGCCTAATCCTTGAAGAGAAAGCGAAGTAGATAATTGGATTGAGGAATGAGTTAATAGTGACACAGTAGTCTGATATGCGGAAGAAAAGTTCGGCAGCATCTGTCGACATATGAAGAGGCAGCAGTTCGTGAAACTTTTTATTAGGCCAGGCCACCAGTAACCCATATATCCAAACTTTCTGAGCGTAGCAGACCAGGTATAGCATAGCGAGGTAGAATATTGTTTTGGATTGGCCGCTCACAATTTTTCTGCCTGCAAGACTCTTTGCTCTGGTCTCTATTTTGGTTACCCTCCGTTTGAACTGTTGAGACACGCTGGGTATGTCTATTCTCACTTGACTAGCGGTTGATAAGCGGTTCTCAATCACTATGGAGTCCTCAGGAACCGTGCCAAGGTTGCCTACTGTTTGGTTTCCAATGACCGATGCCATGGGTATTGATGGTCTTCTAGCCCGAACTCTTGACGGCTTCATGAGCTTGCAGACGATCCAGGTGTTTGTTACGATGATCACTATCACGGAGATTATTGTTGGGAGGAAGTTGAAGATCCAGCCGTAAACTTGTGCCGCTAATAAACTTCTCTGAGGAATGTCAAAGTGTTAAAACAACAATTCTGAATGTTTTTCTGAAAACGAAATCAAAGCTATCGAGTGTGCAAATAACTAAATAGTCATTTATAAGCCTGTCAGACTCTGATACCCTGCCATTGCAATTGCAATGATAACTTGTAATGATAGCTTAATGGAGAAATGTTTGGAGTAACAAACCTGTGTAAGATCGAATATGCACATGGCTTGTTGGGGTATCTTCATGAAACCCCCACAGAATATGGGGTATAGTGCAGCAGCTGAAGAGAGTGCTCCTGACACTAACATCGCTAGCATGACGTGCTTCGATTTCATCCTGAAAATCTAACGTGAGATTCCTGGTTTGCTATTCATGCCTTCAGTTGCTGAGATGTAGCTTATCCGATGTATTTGTAGTTTTGTAGCTGAAATCTTGAGTTTGAAATCTACTGATTTGATAACTCACAGGTTAAATTTAAGAGGAATGACCACTGCCACAAAGCGTATGATACTGATAAGAGGAACCAGTTGGGTGGTAGCAAAAGTGCAGCACAACCACAGCATGGGCCACAGATAACACATTATCTCATCTAGATACCTGGAGATATGAATGGGCATGATGAGCGGGTGACAGATCGTGCAGTTTAATTGAAATACGTACTTTGTCATTCTCAAAATATAAGATTTTATAATTTGTTTCCAAATAAGATTGTACCTCTTAACGATTGAACCAGTATGATATTATTTAATTAGTATAACTAATTATTTATAAATCAATATATTACCACGTACCATGTATCGAACCAGCAGCGTTTAGCAGCCAGCAGATAGATCCCAACATACAGCCCCACAAACCCTCCTCCTACGTCAGATAGCGTGATACAGAACATCGCTCTATTCCTGGAGGGGGATTTGTTTAAAACATATAACTATATATAAGTGATACGAAAAGTTTGTTTTAGCAGGAGCTTTCAAAATACATGTGTAAATCGTCTGCAGCTCTATTCCTGTCAGGGAAATAGGGAGTCACAATATAATTGTGAAGTTATAAAGTTGAACGTAGAATATTTGGTTGAAACTTTTTTTGGAAAGCATTGTACTCTAATTGCTAATATGATGGGACGATATCACATACGGCTGGAAGATTGAGGTAGAACTAGGTTCTCGAGTGATAGCTGGGGCATAAAATTAGATTGTAGGGATAAGGATAAGGTGAACAGGTTAACGATCTTATAGTTATAGTCGTATTGTTGCACTGATCTGAATCTAAGCTGAACTGATGGTGGTGAAGTGAGAGTGATGTGAATTGTGAGCGCATCTACCGTATAATTATATATGCACTCACAATTCACATTTACCCTGCAGAATAATCTGTAGGATTTACAATTAGGCGAGGTTTGATGACAAATCCAACTTATTATCGCAGTCGAATATCTCTCAGTCGTGGGATTTAGAAAATAGAAACTTTGAAAAGTTTGTAAATTTATAAAAGATAGAGGAATTTCTAATGCAATCTTAACCTTGAATGAAGGATGAATACTTTCACACCTAGAGATTAAAACTTACGTCGGTTTTCCAAATCCCCTAATTTTGTAGACAGCAGCCATGACGAAGTTCAGTACAATAGTTGCTATGCCCACAAATGTGAATACAATACCCTGGACTAGGTCGGTTCGTTTGTTCCAGTCGAAACTGTCGGGTGTTGGACACTTCAGCGCCTAAAAATAAGCAGATAAGTTGAATCGACATAACCATACCATAGCATTTTACTGATTAGTGCATCTTAATAATTGGTAATATTAAGATGCACTAATCAGTAAAATGCTATGATATGGTTGCTGGCATAAGAATTTATTGGGAATATTAAGCAAACAAGAGAGTGATAATTGGTAATACATAACCATGGTAATTTAGGCCTTTGGATTTTTGTGGATCGTTGAGTATATTTCTACTGAAATGAAATTTAAGTTGAAGCTAGAATTTTAAGCTTACCGCGAATGTTAGGTTGGTATCAGGCATTTTCGTTAATCGCACTCAAGTTTTTGATATTTACCGGAATCTCTTTTGTGTCATCTTAATGTTCAATAAGCTGGGCAGATTAGGTTGGACATCAGTATAAATTCGGTTAAAATGCCTCGTAAGTGTTAAAATCGTAAACAACACAAATGGCATCATTAATTATAAGGTGTTAAAAATGTGATAACAAGCTATGGGATCCCGCGGAAGCTATGATTCGAGAATACGAAAAATGGGATTTCCTAACAGTAACCATCCACAGAGCAGTGCTAAGACTCCTGATCCCTAATGATCAGTTTAATTAACACAAAACATATTCGGATTCCTATATTAAGACTCCCAACACCAGGTTATTAGTGACGAGGCGTTAAGTTTGGTACTTGTTTATGTTCAATTATTGAATATGGGATTACTATTAGCCACTTAATTGACGCGAATCACCGTATTAAATGTCGCCAAAATCTTTGTTATAGATTTTAATCCCTTGATGGCCTGGCATACTCAGGACATAAAATTAAATGTTTCGATTGACGTATAATTCGAGGTTTAATTTGTAACTTGTTAAAAAAGTATAGCGCATTGATCAGTGATCAGGGTCGACAGGTGTATTTTACTCGAGGATCAATAGATCTGCAATGCAAGGTGTGGCAAACTGGACAAGGAGTTTAGAAACACGCAGAGTGTAAAGCAAACGAAACTGGAAACATCTGATTAACGGATTGTGGTCACACCAAACACGGATATGATACAAATGTTCTGGCCATTAAATAGTAAGAAAAGTTTAATTTCTTTAAATTGTCTAAATATCAGCAATCAAGTCGTTGGCCATAAAATAATGTACCCTCTGTAATAGTTCTCCTAGTTGTGCAATGTACTATGGCTTTGGAGATGGCCGATGGGTGGAGTACCCTTCTTGGGCCTTAAAATCACGAAGAAATCATTTTGAAATTTTGTATTAACCCCAGAATTGAACACTTGTAAAACTCCATTTGGTCGTGAGACTTGTGACTAATGATACAAATCAGCTGTTAAACGGGTTTTTTAGCCTGTGTACTTAACGGGTGATACTCGTAAAATATTTGTTCCAAATATTAACAGGACCGTCGACGAGTCCAACTCGGCGTGCGTCCTGGTAGGTTAAAAACCTACAACCTGTGTACCAGTGTACCCGTGATAAATGACAACAAGCTTGACTCTTGAGCTAAAACTAAATGAACCACCGCCACACATTACCAATTTTTATAGGCTCTGAAACAATTTAATCGCCGCACCTGTGAAATGACCAGCTTATTATATCAGTATCACACAAATAGTTGAACATGACTAATGACACTGATACTAAAGAACTCTAAATAGTTGTTACTGTTACACAACAAAAAACAAATATCAATGACAATGATCTCGCTAAAAGACTCAGCACTGCACACAGCAGCACACAAAACGAATGTCTAGTTAAAATGGCTCCCGGCTTTCAGACACAGCTAGCCGCTTTGTTCCGATTGGAGTTTCGTAATCTTAGCTCCATTATAGCTACCTTATCCCTCTATCCCTCAAAACAAGTTAAATTCGTCTTGGAGACAAAAGGTAGGGTTTGGTCGTTGACAAAATGCTGGATATTTTGTTGTGAGCTGAAATGATTCGTGACAAATTTGGATCGTAGGAGTAAACTGAAACAGTGAAAAGCTTCTCTGTTTTGTGTTTATTATTAGCAACAATAACAAATAACAGATATGGTCTCCAGCGAAATGCCCCCTGCATCGACTTCACTTTCACAACAATGGTAATTGTAGTTATATGACGTTTCAGTGGACTCTCTGTCGATAACATCGGATCATAAACAGTCAATTAAAAGATGCTTGGTACGACATAATTGTAAGTACGTATAATTGCCAAATAAGGTGCAGTGTAGCTCGATCAGAGCTTTCAATCTCTGCAAAAGAAACGGCTACCTCATCGGACCTCATCAATAATGTGGCCACAGCCTTACAGCCTACTAAGTCTGGGTTATATCCTGTTGGCTCCTAGCCGCTAGGTAATGGTATTTACAATGACGATAATTATAACCAGTATGCAATTACTGGCGGGTAAAACTTTTAATATGTTGTTAATTGTTTCCATGGCAAAAACCTCTCCAGACGAAGTTGGACAATGGTAACTGATAATGATAAAACTAATACCTTAAAGTTTCTCGGGGTTTACAGACTAGTTTGGTGGTCAGATATAATTTCAGATAAGAGGAACCAATATCGCTTCTGATCTGGGTGCAGTTTATATCGACAATTTTTCAAGAAAAATTGCTAGCAACGTTGCTTTATTGGTACCTTAGTGACTTTTAATTGTCACATGATACGCGTTGAAAATTGGCCTGGGTCATATCATTTTTGAAGAATATTCCTGCGACCTGCAATTATCTCACTTCCGAAATTTAATAAGTATGCCCTCGGCGGGGTGGCGGCCCAAAGGAATGAACTTTGCCGAGCTTACCGACTGTCGGTAGTCGGTACTCATCGGTTTATAGATCAGTTGGATGGTCAGATATAATTCAAAATTAGATGAGCCTATAATTATATGTCTAAAAAATTGCCAAAAAGTGATTCAATAATATTTAAACGATCCCCGAAACGATGTCCATTGAATCAATATCATTACTAGCCATATTTATAATTGAAAAGTTGTTGATCTTAACTGTCCACAGTAGATTAACTAAAAACAAATATTGACATGTCATCTATTATTTATTATTTATGACAAAAATTACGGTATCTGTGCAAATCATTCTGTTCGACAAATTTTCGGCTGATTGAGCTAGAAATATACAATTACATAGTTAAGAAGAAATATGAAAATTATAGTTCATATTAAATCTCGTGTTCTGATTACGGCTGATTACGTAATATATGTGAACGACCCCTTATGGTATGCCTTAAAGTTAAACTTTCCCTCACTGTGTCGTGTGTCAATGCTTTTGGCCTTCAAACCAAATTACTTACACACTTTGGGCCGATGGAACTTTTCAACTCAGATTTGAACAGTTTAGCTGTATAACGGTTTTAGCGTTAACTTTAAAGCTATCCGCCATAAAAATAATAGAATATGTGGGAAAGTTACTGACGACAGTTTAAAAGTGAATCTGATCAGTCAAAAGTTCATACATTCATTAATGATTAAACAGTTCGAAGTAAACAAAGCACTAAAACACACAGTATAGATGTTATCACAGCTGAAGTTTATAAAGGAAAAGCGAGTTAAGCTGTCTATACAAACAAAGCATTTTATATTTACATCGAGATGCAAATGATTTCTGACACGTTGTTACCAACTTGAACTAACGTAGGCGCAGCATGTTTTGATGTTTTGTCAAAGTTGCAATTCTGATAAGTATACCATCGGCGGACGATCGCCGATCGCGATGAACATGAAGCCGAAGGGTTGAAATTTGAAAATCAATATGGGGGAAGCCATAATTAAAATGAGGTGACTGCATGGAATAAATTAGAATTTGAAGAGTAGTATAATTATGCATATGTAACCAAAATATCCCTTGATAAGAAAAGCATAGAAGTTACAAAATTTAGATTTAACATTTATTATTATATGCGTCATTAAAATTAAATAAATGTGAACTAGGCTTAAACATAAAAAATTAAATTTCCAGAGCTAAAACTAAAAGTAAAAGCAATTAATATTAATAACCACTTGCTTTAAGTTTAAAAACGAATAGTTATATCCCATAATATCACGGATCTTAATGTTGTTTCGCACATGTTTGTAATTTCACAAAGCTCAGAGCTGCTTATATTGTCTACCGCCTGGAACAGTGTGGACAGTGGACAGTGCCATTGTTTGCAATTTCACTTACGCCCAGTTGTAATGTCGTATGGTTCCTAGCTGTGGTGCATCGTGTCTAGACTCTAATGTTTCTTAGGTGAGGCATGGTAAGAAATATAAATTAAGTTTAAGATGGCAATCGGTAGGCTATTAAATTTAAAAGCCTAACAAAATCCGCATTATTTTAAAAGATACTCAGTGAGTGTGACAGTAGCACAGTAGCCACCATAGGTTTTATTTCTATATCACGTTTTTTCTTTCTTTCAAACATTCCAGTCCATTGTGCAGAAAGTTGGAAATTTAAACTTTGGAAGCATTTGTCATACGTTGTATGACCCGCCGCGCACGAGTGCGCGGCTCCCCCTGTATCGGCGAAACTCTACAGTATACTATAGTGAAGCGACCGTGGGGGTCACCACGTGATACAAGGAAGCATGTAGTGATAGAGATCTGATATCGATCGTAAATACTAAAAATAATCTAGCACAATTGTAACTGCAGTTTCACAGAACTCTAAATGCTTAATGAACACACATGCAGGTACCACCCGTATTCACACTCAGAACTGAGTTAAAATATTTTCCGATACTAGATTGGGGACGGGTTCTATAAACAAACAAACAAACAAACAATTATTCAATTTAAATGAACAATTATATCTCATCGTGCAATATGATGAGAGCGTAAAGAAAAAGCTTCCCGAAATCATCATAATCAATAATGAACAGAACAACTGCAAGATGCTGTAGGAAGGTTGAGAATGCATCCTCCACCGGTAGTCCTTACTGTTTTAGGCATAATCAGAATCCTCTATTGAACGAACAAGATCAGCTCCCAAAGGGTGCTTGCACACAATTAGTGTTGGTACCCAGTACATGGCTGTAATTGTATAAACTGTACAAGCTGATATGCGAATGGACTCAATAGTGTAACTATTGTAATTATAGTGACTAAAGTCATGCAGTGCAGGAACCCGAATTAATCCTCGAAAATCGTTCAATTCATTCTTTTCCTATAAAGCCTTTTACTAAGGCTTTAAAAACTGTCATTTTTAATGTGTAATGGAATTTTAATGGAATCCACATTGAACTCTCACGAACTGCTTTTGGGAAGTTACTTTTCTTGCTAAAAAGCTATAAAGCGTTCTAAAAATTACCACCATGGATTACTTGGAGTGTTTTTCTGGCTGAACTGGTTCTGGGACGATCGAGTCACAAACACAAAACGCACAAGCAGCTTACAAGTAGAAACACGACAATCTTTTGGCGGTGACTACAATATACAGAGATTACTAAATCGTCACCTATTAATCAGTAAACCAACTTTATCTTTGTGTGCAGCTGTTCGAGGATTCAATCTGAAATGGGCAATTTTATGTTTTAAATCCTTTTTGATCGTAAAATAACACGCAGAGCAAACTAACGTTCTTAGGCTATAATTTACAAAATATCCAGACAAATCGTTGAATTTATAATTTAATATCTGTACTGCTGTCCGACCGATAACAATATTGAAAACAATTTGTTTACTTTATCCTACAATACAGTTTATGATTCTTGGAAACCGAGACAGTATTCAGTAGAACGATCAAACAGAACCTTACTATAATAGTAACAAAGTCCAGCAGACCAATGAACAGTTTATTGAAAAGCTGGCGTTATATTAGATGTTATAGTGGATGCTATATTAAATGTTATAGTAGATGTTGTATTACTATTAGTGCAACAGCTGCTTTGTGCTTCTAGCACTGATTCTGATAAGATCTCAAATGTTATTAATGGTCCACTCGTATTAAGTGACAGGAGGTATTTAGTTTTTGATTAACAAAGAACTAATTGGTGGTATCTAGCTATAGCTTCTAGAATGGGCAGGTGTTTCAAGTTTATATTTTTGGAATGTAGAATAGCGCGCGGCAAATAGCACGTTAAGCACTTGTATAGAAAGTGATAGGTGTTGGGTGGACAAAGATCACCTTTGTACTTATATTATTAGAAGTACATCAGCTACAATATAACTAAATATAATAATACAATTTAAAACTTTATTTAACTGATGGATTTAAATACGGATAAGATATAGAAATTAGCAGTATCCAAGAACTAGAAGAAGTCAATTAATGCTAATCGTAACTAATTGCATCCAAGATACAATTCTGGTTGCCATCATGTCATTCATATTACTATTACTATTAGTATTTATTTATGTTGTGGAATGATTCAATTTAATGTTTATTTAAAAAAGGAAAAATCATCAATTCTCCATCACAGATATTAGACTAATGGCAAAAACAGGAGAAATAATGAAGGAAAAAAACAAATGAGGCTACATGATGTCTCGCGGTCCTTTGTAGTGTTGTCAATGAAATTGGAGCTTCATTTCAAGATTAGGGATCGTTCACATATTACTTTAAAATTTAAGGCTTCACAATTCACATGTACGCCCTCCGCCGGCACCAGCTATCTTAACACCAAACTGTTAACCGATAAGATAAAATGATGGTTTGGGCAACGTCTGAAAACATATTATGTGAAATTTCTACACACTAGCGGTAGCTATGTTTTTAATAATCTGAAATAATTCGCGCAGCATGTGAATGATCTCTAATTACTGAAACTAATTCAAACATCTCATCTTTTACATGTTATAGTATAACATGTAAAAGATGAGATATAACTTATACGACAAGAAAACTCTACATGCAACTAATATTACGAGCATCTCAGCATCTCTCCCTAGTAGTAGTACTACATAACAGTAGAGAACCAGTGCAATAGTTAGTCCTTTAGATGCGGCCGGTGTGATTTTCTTGAACATAAATCATAATAACGATTGCTAAATGCACATTTACTCTTGACTCCTCAGCTCAACACGTGTAGTCAAATGGGCATGGATATTGGATAATGGGTAATGCGTATACCAAACTACCCCCTCCCCACCCCCATGCCAATTATGATAATGTTTGAATCATTGATTAATAAAATTACAACAGAACTATACAATTACATTTCAATAATTCAAAAATGGACAATATCGTGGAATGAATCTGATCACCGAACTTCTTATATTACTTACCTATATTACTATATTACTTATATAAAGGTAGACCAAAGTTTTACTACGCAGATTATAGCAACTTAGCGCAAGGCCAAGATGGTATGAGATCCTTGCCGCCATGGCCCATTCCACCACAACAACTACTAAAACCGCATAACATGTTCTCTCAGACATGAATTTGATGGGAAATTGAAGTTTCTGGCGAACGTAATGCGGAGCATGGTTAACCGTTTTCATGTTTTACTTTTACGCGAGTAGTACTAGGGTAGCTGACTCTTTTGTAACCAGTTGTGTCTTTGACGTCGTTGATGCTTAGATGCTAATCAATGGCGTAACTTTGCCTGTTGGCGCCACCAAAATGAAGGCTGATTTTGACTGATTTTGGCTGATTTTGGCTGATTTTGGCTGATTTTGGCTGATTTTTACCGGGAATGAGCCGGGATTCCTGTCCATCCTTGAGTATCTCAATCTGTATAATCAAAAATGCCGAGTGATAATAACTAAAGTTTGTATTACAGCAGAGAGAATCAAAAGACAGAACGGCAATAGAATTAGAACACGAATAGAACGTGAAATCGGTATACAAACTTGACAATGAAACAGGATACAATATCAAATTAACAGTAGTAGTACATCTGTCTTGAGGAAATGTAATCGTGTATAGACGACATCTCATAATCACAGGATTAAGTACGGGATCCTGTGGCGGACAAATTATACCCAGAGCTCACCTCTTATTTCATCGTGGGGGGACCTCATTATAACTGCATTAAGTTAAACTGTATATGAACCTCATATCCTGCAAGTATATCACGTCATGCATAAGAAAGAATATTTGAAGTATAATTTGAGTGGCCAAACATAATGTATTAAAATTTTGATCAATCTAATCATTAATGAATCTTTGTTCGAAAAAAATGAACTTCGTTATTATTTTATTTGACGGATTCTTCGAATGAGTGATGACTGATGATAGTGAGTCATGATATCAAAAAGAATTACTTCAATCGGGCACTCAGGGACTGAGCTATAAGCTATAAGACCAGACGTTTGCACAAACTGATCTATGTACTGCACCATTGCCACCGCCCACCATGTATCACTATCAGTGACAGTATATGTGCATTGTGCGACTGCGTGCTCCTCCCACAATTCAAGATTTTATCGCTTTATCTGACAAAAATGGTGTGTCACCAAGCCTCAGAGGCACATATTAGGTGCGGTAAAAAGATCGAAATTATGCGGCACCGCACCCGACTATGTCGGTGGTGTGCCCACCTACGAGTGGTATTGAAACGTAGCGCGCCTGAAACGTAGCGCGCCTGAAACGTAGCGCGCCTGAAAGCATGACAATGTCAGCCGCGCCGTAAGCTTTCATTAGGTTTTAGGTATCGCGTCCGCGGCAAACAGAAGATAAATCGGAAATTGTGGAACCAGATGATACGGTTTTTGAGGCATTTTGATACGGTCATTTTAGTCTGTTAAAGCACAGTGGAAAATGTTGGCCATTTCGCAGATTTTATTTTTGCAGCGATAATCGCACTCCCTCGCGATTATCGCGCGATAATCGACTCCTTGTGCGATTATCGCCTCATTTTGCGATTATCGCGCGGTTATCGCCTCATTTTGCGATTATCGCCCCCCCTTGTGCGATAATCGCCTCATTATGCGATTATCGTGCGATTGTCGCCTCAATTTGCGATTATCGCAGTATATAACGAGAACCTAGCTGCCACATCTACAGATCTACTGGAGCCATTTCAGATTTTCAGTGGTAACATAAGTTTATAATTAAAGTTAAAAGATTAACAGCAGTCGAATATTTAGAGTTGACAAATTGACAAAATGCTGCGTTGACAAAATGGCTACGTCAAATGATCAAATAGTTACTCTATATGATTCAATTGTAAGCCCACATAATTTAATTTTGGTCAACGTTGATTAGCGGGTTTTCATCTTTAAGTTAATATATGATTCATCTCATGTTCGTTGACTAATTTACCTATTTCTAGCTAGAATCCAGAATTCTTCCAAAATATCGAGAGCTCAGATTAGACTGAGAGGGGACTTTTTGTTGTGACTTCCCTAGTCACCGCTTATTGTGCGGCCGGGCGCGTCATGCCCGAACCTCGACAGCCATCATCCCGAACCGTTTATATTATCTGACAGCCGCTTTCAAATGTGTTTAACTTAACGATTAGATTTATATTTTTAGAATACTTTTCCGTTAGGCTTATAGCATGTGATCACCTCTAGGGCTCAGGTTACCATTTTGACAGTTAATTCAATGCTCATAGTATGTCCTGGCCTTATCGTTTAACTTAGATCTGATTGCTTGTGACGAGATGATGTATTTCGTTTGTCTCTATCCATCCCGGTTACGAGGCCTATCGAGCTGGAACTGTTACTTAAGGGTGCCCCAGTGAGGCACACTTTATATATATAATAATGATAACATATACACTAATTTGATCCATCGGATATTAATATTCACGTCTAAGTATTACTGCTATGAGTATGACATAGTGTATTCCTGCTCGCATCAGAGTTATTTCCGATGTCATCCCAATTCAGTTATCTAAGGTCTAATTTTTACCGGAGAAATTGTCAGCTCAATCGTTATCTTCGATTCAAGTGATTCCTTGCGCTCAAAATTGTCCCGCACTCGTCAAATTACATCCTCTGAGAATTATGGCGAAGTGGACAAAATTGAATCACCCTCGCGCGGCGACAAAAACTTGCGTGATGCGCGGTTTCAGTCGCAGTCACTACTATAACGAAAAAATTTTAATGGCAAAACATAAGCGGCGTTTTACATAATATGTGGCGAATATCATTATTGATCAAGTAGAAAATATGAACAGAGGGTGAAGCATCACCAAATTAACAATCTTTCAATTTTAGGCATATAGCAGATTGTCCCAAACACTAAATCCATCATGATTGACCCATTTCAGTCACACAGCTTGGATTTCACTTTCAACAGGTATTTCCGTGTTGCTAGCTCGCACTTTTTCACAACTCGGTCTTCGTCATTACGAACATGGTCTGAAAATTTATGTTGCTTACATTTCTGTATTAAAGTGGTGGTCGTCCACATATTATGTACTCCCCCTCACCTTCGATGGTTAAGTAATATATGAACGACCCCTTACACACTACTATTCAACGTGTGGAAATCAAAATTTGATCTCAAACTCAATTAATTCTAAAAGCCCAAGTTATTTCTTACTTGTCATGTGTTCGTGATTCTTAAAAAGGGAGTGAGTACTCTCACCACCTTGCTCATTGAAAGATCCAGAAAACATCCCCCAGAGCTGTATCTGCTCCAAAAAGTGGTCTTCAAGGAGATGTATCTGGTGGAGGTGGTGTTGAAATGATGTTGCAATTTTAAGAGTTCGGTTGGGCCGGAGTTTCTTATAAATATGTCATGAAAATAACTTTCTTCCAGGCTATTTAGGGGTTGGAGACAACAGGTAAAGCTATAAGAGATAACAACAATACCTTCACCGATGTGGACTGACCAAACTTTCGGTACTCTGCCAAGAAGAGGTCCCTGGCCTTGACAAGAGTTTCGATCTCACGGGGACTCTTCACTTTCCCACTTTTGCCACCGAGAACTAAGAGATCTCTATACGAGGACTTAATGCGATCCAGTGCAAGGAGCCGTTGCTGAAAGTGCAGCTTGTCCTGTGGTCTTATCTTCCTGTCAACACAGAATCGGTCAGTCACAGAAGCTCGTTATCAATACAGAATTTTAGCCTTCAATCACAAGTAAAAAGTGGTAGTTATTTCACTATAAACGACAACCATTAGTAACATGAGTTAAATCGCACTGATCTCACAGAACTTACTCGTTTTTATAGAAGTGGTCTGTCCAAAATTGAGTGTGATTGGCTTTAACCAAATATCCTGCTCTCACGCCGGTCAGGGACACACCATGGTATGCCTCAGGAGTGACATTGATGCCCCTCAAATATTGCTCATACTTCGAGGAAAGGGGCCCACTGTTGCACTTCGAGGCCACACGGTTACCTAAAATGTACAGTGCCACACTTATTTTCTTCAACTCATTATATATCAGTTTGCAAAGCCTCCAATTTTTCAATAATGAAGTGATACATTCATCGATGAATCTACATTACCTTGTTCGATGCGCAGAATCATGGCTCCAAAGTCTGTCGTACTGCTGTAGCTGTTGGGAAGAAACCCGTCTGCCACATTGCAAGCGAGTACAAAGTCTATCTCCTCGCACAGTTTACCGTACTCTGTCCACAGAAAAGTCCCGACTTTGATGTTCTAAAGGAAGTATCAAGAGTCATGACAATCAGTCAAATAATTCTAGTACCTAGTTCTATTTGCCACATATCAGGAACAGCATGAGCGGTGTTCGAATAAAAAACTGTGAGCTTCGATCACTTACTATGTGCAAGAACGGAACAGCGACCCAGTTTATGAGATAATCAGAATCCTCCCCGAAACAGTCTGTGATGGGTCGTGAAGCAACATTCATAAACTGGGCTTGGGATCTCGGGTTACACTGAGTCATTCTGATGTGGAAAAACTCGATACTAACAGTTTACAGAAATGGTATACATCTATCGAAATACATACATGGTATACAATATACATCGAGATAAATGTTTGTACTTTGTGAAATGAAGGAGCTGCAATCAGCGAGTTAATGACTGGTATTATAAGTTTATAAGTACCTCATATTAGCATCAAAGTTCTGCATAATTCCCGCAAAAGTTCGGGGCTTGCAGAGAGCTCTCTGGCTTCTGGGTACTTGCATCAGGTCTTTATGTACCTCGCACAGTGGACAGGGGAACGTCCCATTGCTGCCCATACCCAGCATAGCCCACAGTGCCTTTGTGTCTGCACAGAGAATCATCTTCACATGTGCTCCACAGAAGACAAAGTTCTTGAGCTGTGGTAGGTCCCGGTTAACCACCTGTAATGTTATCTGTCTCATGCCTGTCCAGTTTTTAAAGTGTAAGCTGTTAATACAAATAAGCTCAAGTTGAAGTCTAGATTTCATGAAGAAATACCTTAAATATGACCTCCATGTTCCTGCGATGGTCCGGAGCTTCGGTGTACACCAGCATTGGGTGGGCATACGAGCTGTTACACGAAGGCTGGTTTAGCACATTGACTGCCACTTTAGTGGAGCTCGTGTCTGCGTCTACAAACAGCTTAACATGTATAGTTTTGTCAGTTCCCACATCTAACTGGCCTGGAATATATAGAATTCAGCTGGCTGTTAATGAACTATGTGATAAAAACCGCTAAAAGAACTGCCCACCTTGACCTATTTAAATCAAATTAATTTTTTGTAAACAGCTCTATAATCTCTAGAAATTTGAAATACCGGTATTCTTCAAGGTTATAAGTGTTTTGGTTAGCAGTTCCTGTCCATCACAGTAGGCTACTGGGGTACGTCTTGCTAACAGCTCACCACTTTTAGTTTCATTTTTATCATGTGCTGCAGCTTTATGGGAAAGAGAAACCATTGCACTCATATAGTTCACCTTAAAACATGAATGATGTTAATTTTTGATGTACAATATATTCTATATTTCAAAATCTGGGTTGTGCTATGCTATATGCTAGTACGCCATGACACCAAAATGATATATAATTGGTTTTGAGTTCAACTGAGCACTCACGGTGTATAATTCTTCCATTGACTTGATTTCCTTCTCTGATTCCATTTTTATATCATATTTTTTTAGCAGTGGCCGCAGGTTGTTTCGTACATTGGCTGTCCCCGTGTTAGCTAAAAATTGAGTCAGCATTTAATTTATTGCGATGAAATCTATTGCACACTAAGAATTAACTTTTCCACCCGCTAAGTTGTAATGATAATGACAATTTGTATCGTTCTTAACAACTTACATTCAGCTTTGAACATAGCAACATGAAGAGCATCAATTCGTTTCTTACAGTCAACGCCAGCCAACGCCTGTACATACTCCCGCTGCTCTTTAGAGAGTGATGTTAACTCCGCAGTTCGGATCCGTTTGGTCACTGATTCGATATCAGAGTCATTAGATTTTGAACAGCTTGACTCAGCCTGCAAATATTCATGTTGATTGAACTAAATTGCCTGTAGGGATTCGTTCAGTTTCAGTATGGCTATGATGGCAAACTGCGGAAGTGATATACAGTTTAACTTATTACCGATAACGTTATTCAGGATACCTGGCTCTCTACTATATCCTTGAAGACATGAGTGTGCTTCCTTTTAACACTGTCAGCAGGAGTTTTTATTTCCTTGTGCGGCTTAATGATAGTGGTGATGAGGAGGGGTTTTCCCTGTGAACCCTTCACCTCAAAGGTTGCTCCCTCTTCAAAGCACTTATCTAGTAACGACCTGCAGGATTACACGGATGATCACCTTCAGATGTTTAATATTCACAAGTTCAGCTCTTAAATATCCTTTTAAAGTGCTACACTCAACCCACTCTGATCCTACTCAAGTTACGACTGATGATGTTTTATAGTCAAAGATGCAGACAGCCTGTGTCTTATTAGTAAATTACCTCAGCACGTGGTGAAAAAGTTTGTCTCCCGGATCGGTATGTTTGATAAAATCAGCCAACAGTGTTTTCTTCATGTGACCGAATGAGAGCAGATGTTCCTTTACCGTACGGTCGGACAATTCATTCTCTTGTTGACAGAGAACACACGGGCAAAGCATTTTGTTACTATAATGTCCGTGAAGGTTAAGTTCTTGAGGCTAAACTTTACTTGAAAACATTTCAAATGTTGGGATGTGATAATTGATGAAATATCGAGAGAGGGGGAAGGGTGAAAAGAAAGCGAGCAAAAAGAATTAAAGAATTATTAGTATAAATCAAGAGGCTTTCATATGAACATATTGGCACGGGTGTAGAGTTGAGCCTGTACGGAACCTAGTAGTTTCAGATCCTTGTTTAACTTGCCGTACAGCAAGGTCATTCACTACTTTAGCCCTGGCGAGGCACATAGCTCACTCTACAACTCCGTGTCAAATGTTTCATATATACCAGCCAAGTTCACAAGATATATCCTTGTGTTTGAGAAGAGCTCGTTAGAACTGCTTCTTTTCCCTTCAGTATCCCACAGTCTATCAAAATTAGTGTCACAAAATTGGTATCATAAAATTAGTTAATAAATTAGTATCACAAATAGAGTTAATGAATTAGTGTCACAAAAAAAAGTTAGTATCACGGAACAAACATCACATAATTTTTCAAAAATTAATAATAAATTCAGTGTATTTACAAGTTTTATAGTTAAACTGAACCTCCCCAACGCTGTCGGAAAATCTCAGTCGCAGTGAGCTTCTTTTGAGAGGCCTTTTTTTTCCTCTCAGCAGCCATGCGGACTCTGGCTTCTATGACAGATTCGGGCCCCCAGTTGTCCGCACTGATACTGAAATTAGAATGAGTGAGGCAGGGACAGGGAGGGAGGGCCAGGGAGGGAGGGCCAGGGAGGGAGAGCCAGGGAGGGAGGGCCAGGGAGGGAGAGCCAGGGAGGGAGAGCCAGGGAGGGAGGGCCAGGGAGGGAGAGCCAGGAGGGGGGTTCACTGCCTAATACCTGGATGCTGCTGAATTAATCCGTGATCGTGGTTGCACAGCACAGACTGGTGTACCGTGACTGGAACGGGACGGTCTGAAATAAATATGGTGTTAAGATTTCATCACAAATGATATAACGCATCGCCAATCTTCATAAGAGTCCTTTCTTATCAATAAAATAACTAGTTGACTTACCAAAACACCACATACATTAACTCATTTACTTTTATGGCTTAAAAATTTACCCTGGCCCATTTGAACTGACGGAGGGAGTTCGCGAGCGAGAGCGGATGGGGTCAGGGGTTCTGATCAGGATACTGCTGCAATATTTAGATGTGTTATATATCAGTTTTAAATTTGACTAAATATTGTTAGCCTGGGTACAAACATATTACATAACCCTGGCAATAACATTACAATGGAATTAAACTGCATACTAAATGACGATTTTCAACCATTTCAAAAACATTGGACACCGGGTCATATTTATTCTGCTATGCTACCTGACGGGTGCTGGGGTCGGAGAGGGTGCTTGGTGGAGGAGGAGATTGGTCCTCATCTCCGCAATTTCCGCCGCCTTTTCGTCCAGGACATGCCGCATGGCATTGGTCACACAATCCTGAATATCACTATTTTAACAGCTTTGTTTCAACAGGGATTCAGTGGATCTCATATCATGACAGATGAAATTTGATTGTTCATATGTGATACAGGTGCAGCTTACCTTGCAGTGCAATGCGTGCAGTGGATCTGTCTGGGTACCAGCAGCAGTAACTGGGGGATGATCCGATGCTGCTCTCTGCTTCACTGCTGCCCCCTTCCTCTTGCATTTCTTGTCAACAGCATATTTCTTATATCGTAGCTGGACCTCCCTCACCCAATCAGAGTGTACGCCACTTTCTGAAATGTATTCATCTCCTTAATGATTAAAGAACGATTTTTACAAAAGATATATCGATCAGAGTTGTCATTTGTTAAGCCATGATGTTTTGCGAGAACTTCTCTAGTTCCTAATAAGAAGTGAGGCAATGGCAAGTGATAAAAACTTATTTACCCTCGATATGGCAGAAACGTGCCACAGCTCGTTTTATTTCGGGAACCGCTTCGAGAGTAGGGAACCTGGCTCTCATGTGCCTGAAGAGTAAAATTTGGGGGGGGGGGGGGGGGGGGGGGGGCCAACCATATTAAAGTATATTAAAGTATATCCCCGGGTCAAAATCGGAAAAAATCCTACATTTTAATATACTTTAATATACCTACAATTAGAAGATTTATATAATTTCACTTACAACTCGTGCAGATTGCAGGTCGAGTCAGCAAAAATGTAGGTAAGAGGAAACAAACAAGTTCGATGTATAATAACTTACAACCAACATCTCCTGCGGAAGCCATCGGAACCAAGTGGTCTTAACTGTCGTGTTACAGTTAACCCTGCGAACATTTCTGTCCTGCTTCCACTCATGTTCTCACTAATGTGATAATCGATATGAACGTGCTTAATTTCGTTCTTTATAACAACAAATGCAATCATTTAATTCGATCGAGCTGTCAAGCAGATTACGGTATTAGGTGAATAGTGTGGCCATTGGTAACTACAATAGACAAGTCACTTGGTGACATGATTACCGCACGTGTGTAAGTTGTAACATCTTATACACTCTTACAGAGATATATCTATATTCGATCCAAGCACTCTCACTTTTGAAAACTGAAGTCGAAGAAAATATTCTGATCCAGGTCACACTAAGAGGTACAAATCATAACAAGTAAAGTTGGCTGGTAACTAAGCGCTAAGTGAGCGCCCTAGTAGCGCTCGATTCATAATTTGATTTTCGTATAGTTCAAATCCAACAAAAGTGCGCGGCTCACCGCGCGTGTCAAACTTGAAATGCAGTAATGAACTCCGTGTACTATTTGAATATAATATTGATATAATTGCCATCGGCAGACAGAATGAACAATATGTATTGATTCAGATTCTTATTCATGTATAAGATTTATTTCCATAACGGAATTATGAGATAATTTTCGAATTACAAATTGAATAGAAGTTTATGTTTATGGTTTCGGGTTTGTCGTAGGGGCCCAGGGGTCATTCGTAAATAGCGTTTGCGTCCGTTAAACAGGGGGAAGAGGAATGAAATTGGAAATATGAAATGTTGATGCTTGTGTTTACTTTCGCCTTTGAAGGTTATAGTTTGATTGTAAAATGTAATTCTGAGGCCAGGGTCAAACTCAAAATGAAAATGCAGGATCCGCTGCGCGCGGCGTCAGGCACAAGGTTTAATATATATATCAAATATAATATTTTTTATTGCTGTTCAACCATAATTTTGATTCAGTGCAGTGTTGAATGTTGATGCAGTATATGACTCACAGTATGTCAAAATTAACTCATCATTTCACTATTGCATTATCATCGCAGATTTTAGCGATTATCACTATTTAATGGCGATTATCGTGCATTTAGCGATAATCGCCAATGTTAGGCGATAATCGTGCGCAATAATCGCATGTTAGGCGATAAACACGCGATAATCGCATATTGGGCGATAAACACGCGATAATTGCATTATCGCTTTTATGCAAGAATAAAATCCAGATATTTTCCACTGTGAAAGGGGCTGCAGAGTGCTGCAGATGATTGTACAGTGTAGGGGGATGTGTTTACTAACTATTTTGACGTCAAAATTGTCGCCAGAGGCTCCCTGAGTCATGGAATGAACGGAATGAACAAAAATGAATTTTTTTTCTAAAACTCGTCGGATGGCCCCAAAACAGGTCGGAATCGTTTGGTATTGACCCTAATAGTGTTCCTACGAAGTTTGGTGGCCCTAGCACTCCCAGAACACCCATTATACCCTTGGCTGGATTCAAGAATTTAGAACCAGTTGAGCAGATAAAACGGATTTTGAGAAATTTTGTCTGCTTGTGTTGTTGCAGAGAGTTGAATTTGGTTCAACAGTATTCAAACAAGATGTGTTCCAACTTAGTTTTGTAGCCCTACCATTTTCAGCCTTACCATTTTCAGAACGTCCAATAGAATCCGGTTCCATTTTCTTCCAAGAAGCCGTAGACAAGGTTGTTTGAATACAACTCTGGTAATACAACTTTTTACTTGGATGGATTTCAATAATTAAAGAGAGCAGAGTTTTAAAAATTTGCCAGTATTTGGCACAATTTCTTTAGCTATTTCTTCGGACAGTTTTGATGCATTTACAGTGACTAACCACGCCTTTTGTTATATTTAACGGAACGTAAGATTGTGTATTCGTCTGAACCACCAGATATAATGACAACAAGATAAACGGTGACTGAAATATGGCGAAAACTTGTTTAGCCCACAGCTATTGAAAATGTCGAGTTTACGAAGCTTGATGTCTAAATGATAACACAATTCTTTTAAGCAGATAAGATATTAAATCTAATACATGAAAACATAGCACGGCATGATAATCAAATGAACATTATGTTAACCATCAGTCTTAGTTTGTTCGTTTTTATGTGATGTACAGCCTGCCAGCATCTTAAGATCATCATAGCAGTTCACGCAACATTGGTCGTCTGAACTGCTTGTCACTTGCGGAGGACATTTAAAAGACATCCGTAGTAGATGATATGTAGGGGGCCTGGTAGTGTGAACATAAGTCTTCGAAGGGACCATATGTGTGACAGAATCGCGTCGTGCACAATAGCAGAGGCCGCTTCGTTGATATCACGCTCTGAAACAAAAGTTGTTAGCGGTAAAAATGAAAACCATTCAAGTTCTGGGGTTATGTAATAGAAAGAAACAATGCATGAGATCTAGAATCAGGCCTCTATCAGAAGTCAAATATCAAATCTCACAGAATTGGTAATCATTTCGCTCCTGAAATTGAAACGAGATCTTGTCGCCGATTATAATTATTAGGAGGTCACGAAAAGCAGCTTATTGGGGTCCATGACTGGAGTACACACAAACATGGAATGATTTCAGAATAACCCCAATGTTGGGATTCACTCAACACAGTAGGGTAAGCGTGCAAAAATGATTATAAAATATCAGCACCGAGATAATATAAGTTGTAAATTAAACTTAAAGGACTGTGTAAATATATTCAATGTGAATCGTTTAAATTAAGGGGGGGGGGGGGGGGGGGGGGGTAGGGGGGGGGGGTGGCAGGGGGGGTGGGGGGGGGGGGGGCTGGTGGGGGGCTGGGGGCGGGGGGCGGGGCGGGGCGGGGGGGGCGGTGGCGGGGGTGGGGGGGGGCGTGGCGGGGGGCGCGGGGCTGGCTGGGGGGGGGGGCGGGGTGGGGGGGAGGGGGGGAAGAGGGGGGGGGGGGGGGGGGGGGTTTTTGAGGGCCCCCCACCCCCCCCCCCTCGCCCCCCCGCCCGCACGCTCCACCCCCCCCCCCCCCCGCGCCCCCGAGCCCCCCCCGCCCCAGCCCCCCCCCCCCCCCCACCCCCCTCCCGCCCCGGCCCCCCCCGCCCCGCACCCTGCCCCCCCCCCCCCCGCCCCCCCCCACCGCCCCCCCCCCCCCCCACACCGGCCACGGGCGCGCAGGGGGGTCTCCGCCTAGAAAAGAAGGGTCCGGGCATACACGCCCGCTCCCCTAGACGTGTGCGTCGGTTACACTTGGATAGTGGGTCTAGCAACAGAATGGGGGTCTCGCCGAGAAGAGTGGAGATATGGCAACAGAATGGTGGGTCTGCATTCTTAGAATAGTGGGGTTTCATATAGAGAGTGGGTTGTGCAAACCAGATATTGGGGTTATTAAAATAAAATATATGGAGTATGGTACCACCCCCCAGAATTTGTGGTCTGGACTTAGAAAGGGGGTTGGTAACGAATGGTGGGTCATCCACTCTAGAAGAGTGGTTTGGAACAGAATGGTGGGTCGTCACTTAGAAGAGCGGGTCTGAGCAACCAAAATTGTAGGTCTACATCTAGAAGAAGTGGGTTGGCAACCAGAATTGGAGTATAGGGTTAGGATATAAAAGGATTCAAGGATACAAGGATACAAGGATACAAGGATACAAGGATACAAAGTATACAAGGATAACAAGGATACAAGGATAAAAAGTGATAATTATTTTATTGAATTCACAAGTGTATAATTCTGAAATAATTTAAGGTTACAATTTAGTTATTATAAATGTGTAGTGATAAATAGAAATGTTTTATAATACTCAATCTTTTCTAATTAATAGATCGGATTTGTAGATTTCGATCTTATTTTGAGGTCCACAGGTCGTTACAGAGAGAATTGACTGGGGATGTGCTTGCTGTTGGCAGTACATTTGTAGGGTTAATGTTTTTCGGATAGAAAACCTAGCTAGGTCGTAATATTTGTGGGATTGGAAGTTTAAATTTTTCTCTAACTGCGGGTAGAGAAAACAGTCAGTTGAACTTATTTGGTTTTGGGGGGTTTCGTAAAACGGCCACTCTCAATGTAAAGATGTCGAGCATACCGCACGAGAATTCTTAACCACTCCAAGTATGAGTTTCTGGTTCTAAATCATGTTTAATTTGATTGTAAAATCTCTAATTTAGGTGAGGATTGCCTTGGCAGATTTCAGTATCCACAAATTCTTCTCTGTTGTGACTGATGTTGGGTTGAGAGCTTGGAATTTTGAAGAGGATGAGTGGGGAAAGTTTATTTGGTTATAAGATGGAGATGTTGGCGTACCAAGGAAGAGCCCTGCTCTGTTCTTTTCCAATGTCAATATTAGGGGACAAGAAATTGGAATTGTATATGAGCTATTGGAGTCTATTATAAACTTAGAATTAGGTGATATGGCAACCGAATTGTGGGTAAACTGGACTCTTGAATAGGGGTTGGCAACCAGAATGGTGGGTTACACGTGGAATAGTGGTCTGCTACCGAATGTGGTGTCTTCGCTGAGAAGAGTGGGTCTGGCAACCAGATTCGGGGTCTATAACTAGAATTAGGTTGATATGCAATCCATAATTGTGGGTTGGACTCTAGAGAGTGGGTCTGGCAACCAGAATTCGGGGTATATAAAACTAGAATATAGGAGATATGGCAACCATTATTTGTGGGTTGGATCTAGAAGGTGGGTCTGGCAACTGAATACGGGTCTATAAATAGGATTATAGGTGATATGGCAAACCAGAATTGTGGGTCAGGACTTTGAAGATTGGGTTGGCAACCAGAATTCGGGGTCTATAAAAATAGATATAGGAGATATGGCAACCATATTGTGGGTTGGATCTCGACGAGTGGGTCTGGCAACCAGAATTCGGGGTCTATAAAACTAGAATATAGGGATATGCAACATAATTGTGAGTCTGGACTGAGAAATAGTGAGTCTGGAAACGAATGGTGGGTCATCACTCTAGAAGAGTGGTTCTGGCAACCAGAATGGTGAGTCTACACTCTGGAATAGTGGGTCTGGCTACCAGAATTGGTGGTCTTCGCCCTGAAGAGTGGGTCTGCAAACCAGAATGGTGGGTCTGCACTCTAGATGAGAGGGTCTGGCAATCAGAATGGGTGGGTCTGCAATTAGAAGAGTGGGTCTGACAAAGGAATTGTGGTTGGAATCTAGTATAGTGGGTCTGGCAACAGAATGGTGGGTTACACTCTGGAATAGTGGGTATGGCAAACCAGAATGGTGGGTCTTGACATCTGGAAAGTGGGTCTGCACCAGAATGGGGGTCTCCGCGTATTTAGAAGATTGGGATTTTTGGCAATCAGTATGGTGGTTCTGCAATCTAGAAGAGGTGGGCAGAGGGAGATTCAGGGGTA